AAGAATTGTATCACTTGTATCACGATCATTTACATACTTTTTTTTTACTTTTTTTTCTATACCAGATCATTTTCTTTATTTTTTATTTTTTTATTTGCAAAATACATGATTTACCAAAAAAAATACCGAGCAAAGCTCAGTCCTCCAGGTACTTGTTATTTATTTAAGTAAAAAGTAATGTAACAGCATATACATAGCACACCGCTGGGTAAAGGTTAAGGTAAAGTTATATACATAACTTCTAGAGAGCGTATTAGAGTATATACAACGTGTCTTTACAATCGCGACAATAAATGAACACACATATAGGGGATAACTTTTTAAAGTTGTATTAAACATTTATATTCTTTAAACATCAATATTTACAGAGTTATAAAATTTTCCAAAACAAAGAAGTTTAGAACAGCCTTACCTATAAAAGCGTAACGTAAAGTTCATTTGTAAAGGTCACAAAGCATACGAATGGGTTGAATGAATTTAAAAGAGACAAAACATACTGTTAGAAGGAGAGACTTGTAATGCGACGCTGTGGCAACGAATGAAAAAGTCTCTGAATGTATGAATCACTCAGTTGTAGTTGTATAGGATGTTACAAATTTTGTTTCTTTTTTACTTAATTAGTTTGTGTGAAAATTATTTTTTTTTTTAGTTAGGGATTTTCTTAACGTTAATATTTTTTTTTTATTATTGGCAAGTAGCGTTAGACGTGTGTTCATTTATTGTCGCGATGGTAACGACACGCTGTATACATAACTTCTACAGAGCGTATTAGAGTATATATATTATAGTCCACCACGCGAACCTACTGCGGATTGGCGGACCTCAGATATCTACGAAATATTTTCTTTTTTGTTATTATTTCGGAAACATGCAGGTTTCCTCACGATGTTTTCCTCTGAAGCCGAGCGCGTGATAATTCAGCACTTAAGTGTAACAACTTCATCGGTGACATCACCGGGATTTGAACACAGATAACACAAGCATTAAGAATTAAAGGCGAGCGCCCGGACACTGAGCTATCACACTTTATTATTTATTTATATTTATTTTTATTATTATTTATTTATAGAGGGTTTAATCAAGTTAGCAGTTTTGTATGTTCGAAACATTTGTCATCATATTACTTCGCAGTTATTTCTTTATTTTTATTTTTATTTTTTTATTGTACGCAACATAACAAAGGAAGCATTAACAACAAAAAGGTAATAAAAATGGTTGTGCGTTGTACAAAGGGCGGCCTTATTGCTAAAATATCGATTTATTCCAGGCAGATCCTTTATAAAGGAGTTTTCAAAAAAATATTCGTGTGTACACATGAATAGGAACAATTAGATAATCTAATATATAAAATTCTCGTGTCACGGTGTTTGTAATTGAACTCAACCGATTTTCGTGAAATGTGTGCCAGAGTATCGGCCAGGGTGGAGATTCGGATAACATCTATTTTTCATTCCCCTAAATGTTAAGGGTGGTCCACCCTTAAATTTTTTTTTTATTTTTTATATAAAATTTCTTGTTTTTTTTTTTTTGATACAGCATTCAAAAATACACATAACCCCTAAATTTTCACCCCTCTACGCAGACGTAGTCGCGGGCAGCAGCTAGTAATTATATATAATAAAAGTATATATAAAGCATAAATATATATTATACTAGCGACCCGCCCCGGCTTCGCACGGGTGCAATGTATTATACATATGAACCTTCCTATTGAATCACTCTATCTAGTAAAAAAATCGCATTAAGTTCCCTTAAGTAGTTTTAAAGATCAAAGCAAAAAGACAGACAGCGGGAAGACTTTGTTTTATACTACGTAGTGATATAGTGAGCAAAGAGACGTCGAAAACAAAATATTAACGCGATAAATCCGTAAACAAAGTTTCATTTAGATTACTAAATAAAACTTTGATTACGGATTTATCACGTTAGTGTAATCGCGTAAATACAAGAAAATATTACTATGGTTTCTATATTGATTACAGAAACATTTCATGTTAGGTAGATTATCGATTTCTAAACTGATAAATTATCTTAAGGCGTACACGCTACGGGACAGTTAAAATTACACCAAATTTCAAGAGAACTACATAAGAGAAAGGTGAACGTGACCAGAGTAGCAATGCCCGTTGTATCCGATGTGGCATTGTTAGCCTATTGTGGCATGATTTGCATTTCCCCCATCTTGTGTCATTGATTTTTTTTACGTGGAAAGTAGCAAACAAGCTGCCGATTCACCTGATGTAAAGTAATAACCGAAACCCATGGACATTTGCAACACCCTTAGGGTTACAAATGCGTTGCCACCTTTAAATAAAGTGGGCCCCGGCTACCTCAATCACCGTCGGTCTCTGTGAGGTCGTGGTACTTAACCGGACGGACCTGCCCATTCGTGCAACAGTTAAAACTGTTCCGTGGCCCTACCACAGTTAAGCGTAACGTAAAGCTAAAAAGACGGTCTTACAGTTCCACATCACTTTAAAAAACACTATAAGAAGGCCTTATAGAAATAACTGCATCTTAATAACGTATCTATTAATTTTTTTCATTAAGACATAAAAACACAGATTTATTAAACAGATAGAGTACTTACTACTTTTTAATAAACATTAGTAAAGTATGAGTATATGTCCCACTGCTGGGCAAAGTTCCCCTCTGTACAGAGGGTTAGGGCATAGTCCACCACGTGACCCCACTGCGGATTGGCAGATTGAATTTTTTTTTGCTATTATTTCAAAATTATGCGGGATCCCCTACAACGCCTCTCATCACCGCTCAGCATGTGACAAGTCAGAAAATAATATTGAATTAAATGATAACTTAATTAAACAGCTACGATTAACTAAAACTATTATTTTAATCGTCTGAACGATTGGGAATGTGCACCAACTAACCTGTATAGGAATATATTTTTTTTATTATGCGGATGGCATCCAATCGTTGGCTTTGATGAAATGACCTGATTTCCTAAAGTTCACAAGTCGAGTAGGGCAACTAAAAACGGGACAAGTGCTCTCGACAATTTAAGTCGGTCGAAAACGGTCTTGTGGTGGTCACAATTTTCGACACTAGCCAATTTCTAATTAAAAAATAATTCTAAATAAGATCGCTTCTTTTTAGTGAACTATTAGGCAGCCGTGACAGCTCAGCGTCCGACTCGCCTTTAATTAAATTTACTCGAGCAACCTGAGTTCGATCCCCGGTCAAATTAATTAATCCGATGAAATTATTGTTAAGTGCTGACTTATCACGTGCTCAGCGGTAAACATCGTATATTTCATAACAAAAGAATATTTTGAAAATATGTAAAGTCCGCCAATAAACAGTGGGGTCGCGTGGTGGACTGTGCCTTGATATACCCTCATTGCAGAGGAGGCCTTTGCCCAACAATGGGACATTTATAGGCTGTTATTTAGGTACCTTTTTCTTTGGGCAGCGATTTTATCCGCCAGAGTTGGCAGTAACATTTCATGGGTACGCAACGTTTAAATTTCGTTACATGACAGGAAATAAATATATCTCTCACTAGTTCTCAATCATTCTTTTTTTAGTATATTTCTATCAAGTGTTGCTGCACTTGCAATCTTATTCTCGGAAAAACTCTGTATTGATTGTTACATAAATTGTAGCTTGAATCGAACGCATTTAACGCGTTCAAACGAATTACTATATTAAAATTGCAATAAACAATTTCATTCAATCAACAATTAATTTAAACTCGGGTTGCTAGAGTACACTAAATTAAATGCGGGCGTTCGATCAGAGCTATCAGGGCTATAGTTTAAAATAAAAATATTCAGTTTTCCCAAGTCTGGGCGCCTCGTCATTTTATATTTATAAACCGTTCGGAAGTCGTTTTGGAGAATTAATAATGGATGATAAATCATCAATCTGCGCTAGATGCCAACGTAGTGATTACATTCTCTTTACTAGATGCGTTCGCGCGATTCCACCCCACAGATTATCATCAATTTAATCACATAAAAAAAAAAATAATAAAGCTATTAAAATACGTATGTTAAAATATTTTCTGATACATACTTTTTTTCAGACTTTTTGATATTACAAAATGATGCGTCATTTTACGCTAATGCATATCGTCCCAGACATTAAATTTTTTTAAAACTTCATTAGCTAATGACATATTGTTAGTTACATGTGATAAAAGAAGTGTTAAAACAATAAAATGTACGCGTAAAAGATTATTTTATTTCAATACACGATATAATATAATATAACATTAACTAAAAATTTTACAAACTTATTTCATATGATAAAACTATATTACAATAGTATCTTAGAGATCCAAAACTTGTAATGTGATGCATTATTGTCGTCTAATATATTTAATCATAGTTTTTATTCTGGCCTAATAGTGATACAAAAATTAATATACATTTTTCTAAGGCGATATTTACTATTAAAAAAATATAATCAAAATATTTTTATAAAGAATTTTAAAAAATAATACACAAGAATATCAATTATATAAAAACACAAATACATTAATTTTAATTATTAATTTTGTAAATCAATATTTAAAAAAAGAGGTTTTACACAAAAATGTTGAATGCCTCGGAAAATTTTAATCTCTAATATTCTTAGTATTATTTATTGCGATTTCTACTTACACTTAATGGAATAGGAAAGTAAAACTAGACTAGAAAATGTTTATATACAAATAATTTCGACGATTAAAATTATTATTATCATATTATAAGTATTATCTGAAATTTCAAACGCAAAAACTGATGATCTAGTATTACCATTGTGGCATAATCTTTTTTTAAAGAGTCTATTTTAAATTGTTATAAAACTAAAAATACAAAAATTAATACAAAGAAAAAGGTAAATTTGATTACATTTAAGGTGATTTGGTAATAACCTGTAATTACCAATGTCCATTGTAAATCACTAATATATTTGCAGACGAATTTTAAGCACTTATACAATTTTAACCTGGCGTTGTTGATTTAGTAAAAAACCTGTAAGTCCACAAATCAGTGGTTTCCATTTACACCATTTGTGGCCGACTCATATATACTCTTCAAATGGAATGGTGTTATAGTAAATACCTCATTCTTAACCAAATCCTCCAAATTCTCTCCACCATAAGACAGCAAAGGGGAAATCTCAACATCAATGTTATCTGCAATAACACCGCCTGCTTCTCTGATATATTTCCTGTGGAGACGTAGCAGATCTTCCCTAGCAGTAGACGGGCAGTCCTTTTTAGCCGCGTCGGCATTTTTGAGGGCCGAGAATTCGACGTCCCTAGCGACTTCCAAACAAATGAATTTCTCAGCAAACTCGAATACGTCAAATATAAACTTTTCCATCTTGATTCCATTGGGTTCGGACGGTTTTTGCCGGATACCATCGCAATCCACGTAGGGTATCTTTTTCTTTGCCACATGCAGTTTCAGTTTTGTCTCATAATCGCAAATCTTGGTGAGAAAATCAGAAGAGAAGTAGTGATTGCAGATGTTCCCTGCGCAGAAAGTCAAGCGGCCATCTGGATTCCTACGCTCAGCTGCTTCATCGGTCAGCTCGGAGTATTCCACAACTTTGTAGTGTCCGTTAACCCTGCACACAACACCAACGGGCTCACTTGGTGTAGATTTGCGCACCACCTTCGCTGCACAGTCAGCATTTTTGCTTTTACAATAACCAATGAACACTGGATCTGCGACTTTAATCAGAATATTGTCCACGGAATGAGCGTGAAGGTGCTGTACTCCTCTCCTCTTTATGTCCTCCAACACTCCTTGGTTCTTCAAAGCTCTATACAAGCCTCCATTGCCGTCGGGCGCAGAAGAAAGGTGGTATTTCTCGTCTAAGAATATTTTGCCATCAAAGTCGAAGCATGGGAGTGTGCCTTGTTCGAAGAATACAACATCTTCCTGGTTGAGTCCAAAGAAAGAGTGGCTTTTGAAGTACTCTGCTGTAGGTCCCATTGTGTGTTCAGACGTCATGATATACCAGGTGATCTTGCCCTCTTTTCCCGTGCTCTCGGCGGCCATGTTCTGCACACGGACTATCCTTTCGGCCTGGATTTGGAATAGGGTCTTCTTGGAGGGCAGCCCCACGTTGTACATTCCTTTGGGATGGCCGAAGCCCAGCCTGGTGGCTTGGCCGCCGGCCAGCAGCAAGACACCAACTTTGCCGTCCGCGATTTCTTTGAAACCGATGCTTTCGTACTCCTCTATCTTGTCCTCGCTCAGGCCCGAGACGGACTCGTAGTGCGACTGCGGTATCGGCTTCAGGTCGTCGTCGGACTTCTCCAGTATCACTTTGGTGCTCTCCATCGCCCTGTAGAACAGCGCGTTGATTTCGGCCATGTCCAACTTCCCGATCTCGGCGGCCAGCTGTTCCCGCTCATTCTCGCTCAGCTCCGGCCAGTACTTGACGAGGTGCTCTTGACCGTGAGCGGTCAGACGTTCCTTCAGGCTCTCGTATGACATTGCGCCGCCGTGTACGATGCGAAAATGTTAAAAGCGACGCGCGGACAGTATCTTATCGGGACCGATCGCGGCGATTAGAAAGCGAGAACTGACGCGCGCCGTCGCCGACATTTCACTGTTGATTCTCCCACCACGGAACGGCCGCCGAAAACACGTCGGCTACAGCCTGACATTCTGTTTATTTACATTCCAAGGTTGTAAGTTCTTATGTCAGAGGCTTGGGCTTACACGGTTCGTTTTGCGACGCACCCATTAATGTTACTTCGAACAAATGCCGCAATGTAGATTAATATTTTCTATGGACTGCCAACGTCAAATGTTGTATATTGACAGATACGTTCCGAATATTTTCTTTTATGGCGAATAAATGAACACTATATTGAAAATATTTCTTATGTTATAAGTATAAACTAGTTAATTTAATATTGAAATACTAATAGCTATTAAACATATTACTAGAAGAACAAACATTTACAATTGCTTGACGTAACCTAAAGAAGTGTTAAAATGAATAATACAATCTTTAAAAAAAGTTAAATCGTAAATAATATTGATCTTAAATTTTTACTTCTACACGTTTACGTAAAATTAAAAATAATGATTTTCATGTTTTATATAACTAAGGGTATTATCATCTATGTGTCATATATAGTCTACGTGCAACCATGCGGCCCGTTAAAATTGAGCCAACTTTGTTTTATAGAAATTTGCTCATCGGCCGCGTTTTTTGTTTATTACTGATTATTGTGGATTTCCTACTTGACATCGTATACTTGACGGTGATAAGCGCGATCAATGTACTTAAGTTGTTGTTTAATATGATAGAGAACACTAAAAAGCGGAAGAGGAATCCGAATGCCCAATCTGAGTTGACGACCGCCCAGAGGGGTATAATAGACGCGAACTGGCGTAAACTAAACTCGAACGGCCTGCTGATGGAGGATAAAGAGAAGCCCGCGCGCCAGGAGAATCACTACACTGGCGCATTCCGGCGGGCGAGAAAGAAAAAGGCGCAAAACCACACGGACTCCGTCGACGCCGATCTGCAATCACTGCAGATAGACGACCAAGCAAAGCCTGCCGCCTCTGCGAGTGTGCCAGCCGGCCCCGTGCGCAAAGAGAAACGGGGCACCCTGACCAGGTTCATAGCGATGGACTGCGAGATGGTGGGGGTCGGCTACGAGGGCGGGGACCACATGCTGGCGCGCGTCTCTCTCGTGAACAAGTTCGGGGACTGCGTCTACGATAAATTTGTGAAGCCGCGCGAGGAGGTGAAGGACTACAGAACGGACGTGAGCGGAGTGCGCAGGGAGGACCTCCTCAACGGCGAAGACTTCGCCGCGGTGCAGAGGGAGGTGGCCGAAATACTGCGGGGCAAGGTGCTGGTGGGCCACTCGCTGAAGAACGACCTCCGTGTGCTGTTCCTCTCGCACCCAAAGAGGAACATCAGGGACACGTCCAAATACAAACCGTTTAAGAAGGTATTTGTGAACCAGATCCATAGACAGACTTGCATTTAAGATACCATTTATGAATTTTATTTTTTCTGCTCAAGTCAATTTACCATTTATGAATTTAATTTTTTCTGCTCAAGTCAATTTTGTGCACGCTACTTTGTGTAAAATGAAACTGTTTAAAAGAATAGTTATGCTTACCTCTCTCTTCAGGCCATAATCCACCATACACTGCGCATTTACACATTTACTACAAAAAATTTGTAGTTTGTCATTTATGGACTATATAAATTCATATATCTTTATTAAATATTTCTATATATTTTTTATTTTATTATGACAGTCTTTTGTTTTTATTACTTTTATTTTGACAGTCAAAAGTGCAATGCTTTGCTAGTGTGTGGTTAGTTGCACTTACTTATTGACTGTCATAAGAATACTTTCATTTTTTTTAAAAAGCCACTGACCTGAGAAAAGGTGGAAGAATGTCAGGACAATTTCTTTTAAAATAATTTGACAAAATGAAAGAGCCTGGGGTAATCAATTCATTTCCAGTGTGTTATCATTTAAATAATCACTAATATTATGACTGTAACTAATTCAAATTGAACAATTTCTTAGATTTTGTTGTAAAAACACACATTGTCCATAAAACATTTAAGTATTCTACACAATCTAGGTGAGGGTAGTATTAATTTATGTTTGTTTCTAGTATTTGTATCATGTACAGTACTAAATATTGAAAATTCTTTCTTAAAAAAATTATAAACAATTAACTTCTTGTGGTTTAAGTTGAAGAGGACACCACCACCTTTATCATATAAAAAGTGATAACACAGTGAAACTCTTCAACAATGCTTGAAGTATTGTCCCAATAGATGTATAAGATATATAAATATAATATAGTGAATATTATATGTCTTATAGTCAAATATATTATATGCACTATACTGCAAGAGCGTAATGTTGTTTGCTTTAATGACATGTATATCTTGTGGTCTATTTCATAGGATCAATCCTGATTCAGGGATCAAAATACGGTATATAAAATACAGTAACGTTATCTGGGCCAGTGTGAGATAACGTTATTTTTAAGAGAAACATTATTAAAAAACGATATTGTGGAAAGCTTTGCAGTCGCATAACGTTATAATTGCGTTACGTTACATTCGTAAATTAAACGTTTCTAAAATATTGTTATAAAAATAATAACATTATTATTTATTGTTCTATGCCATCTCTTTTACTCAACTGTTTACTCTTTTATCTTATGTTCTGTCGCGCTTATATTGTGGTCGTCGGTACAGCAATTCAACTAATAGAAAATTTTGCTTAAGTTACTAGGAATATGAGAGGTAAAGGTAGTATTATTTCTTTTGCGGGCATATTTCTTCGCTATCTACTTAGTACCATCGCTCGCGTTCACTTAGCGTTTTCACCTAGGGACTTTTTTTGAGATAGTACATAAAAACATAATTTAAGTGCTAATGATAAAATAATGTGCAGGTACAAAGTAGTTAATTGGCAATTTTCAAATGTTATGTTATATTAAATGCTTTCTTTTAATATGATTTTATGCATTATAAAGTTAATTGCCAATACCGGTTGTTGTTGGGAGCACTGAGCTCGAAGTTGTTGACGAGTACATTTACCTAGGACAGTTAGTCCGGCTAGGTAAGTCCAACTTCGACGCAGAGGTCAATCGGCGAATCCAACTCGGATGGGCAGCGTTCGGGAAACTTCGGCAAATCTTCTCGTCGAATATACCTCAATGTTTGAAGACTAAAGTCTTCAATCAATGTGTGTTGCCAGTGATGACCTACGGAACCGAGACGTGGTCCTTCACTGCTGGCCGTATGGGGAAGCTCAAAGTCGCTCAGCGAGCTATGGAGCGGGCTATGCTCGGTATTTCTCTGCGTGATACGAGTTCGTAACGAAGACATCCGCAGTAGAACTAAGGTGACCGACATAGCTCAGAGGATTAGCAAGCTGAAGTGGCGATGGGCCGGCCATATAGCTCGTAGAACCGATAACCGTTGGGGAAGAAAGGTTCTCGAGTGGCAGCCTCGTACTGGCCATCGCAGTGTGGGACGACCCCCCACTAGATGGAGTGACAACCTGTGCAAATGTGCGGGAAGTCGATGGATGCAGGTGGCTCAGGATCGTACTTCGTGGCAGTCTATGGGGGAGGCCTATGTTCAGCAGTGGACTCAAACAGGCTGAAATGATGATGATGATGATGAAAGTTAATAATTCTGATTCGATTTTTTGTTGCATTTAAAGTAGCATGTGGCACATTTTTAATATACAATACAAGGTACAATTAATATCATCGACTTTTTATACTAAATGAAATCTTTAATATTATATATAAAATTCTTTAATACTGAAAATAGTTTCGACTAACTTGCGTTGCACTAAGTGCAACACGCGCCAATCCGAATTTTATACTAAAGGCCCATTTACACGGTGCCAGTTTCTTGCCTGTTGTATACAATTAAATTGAAGCAATAAATGAGTTGCATGGTCTAAACAACAAATGGTCTTAACAATTATTGCGCGCAATTTATTGCATTCAATTATTGCTCTTGTATGTACAAGAAAATGGTATCGTGTAAATGGGCCTTAATTTACTTCTAATCAATGAATCGATACGTCGAAAGAACGAACAAAACTGAAAAAAAAAACATCTTAAAAAGAAGAGCTTTTATTTATAAAAATTAAATATGTGATAAAAACTTCTTTAATTTATCTTTTTCGTTTCTTCGGTTTTTCTTTTAATTTTATTTTTAACTTTTTAGTATTATTTTATATTTTAATAACTTTACATATCAATTAGTTATGGAATTACTAGTTAGTTGTTTGTAACATTTCACATTCTATCCATTTCATTTAATGCGTAAATATTATATTACATTACACGTCCACCAAACCACCACCACTCACCACCCATTAAAAAAGGTCCACCCATTAAAACGAATCAAACTCGACGTGGTTGTGTCGCTTAATGACTGAGTCCTTATGGCCACCTTCCAGCTCCATCATGAAACCCTGGTTACCATCAAGTACCAAAGTACTCGTCAAGACGAAGCCGACGAGCCGAGACTCGATGGGGTTGCGTCGTTCCATTACAGTCCCTGTGGCCACCTTCCAGCTCCATCATCAAACCCTGGTTACCATCAAGTACCAAAGTACTCGTAGAGAGAAGCCAACGAGCCGAGACTCGATGGGGTTGCGTAGTTCCATTACAGACGCCCCATCATCAAACCCTGGTTACCATCAAGTACCAAAGTACTCGTAGAGACGAAGCCAACGAGCCGAGACTCGATGGGGTTGCGTCGTTCCATTACAGTCCCTGTGGCCACCTTCCAGCTCCATCATCAAACCCTGGTTACCATCAAGTACCAAAGTACTCGTAGAGACGAAGCCAACGAGCCGAGACTCGATGGGGTTGCGTCGTTCCATTACAGAGTTCCTATGGCCACCTTCCAGCTACTTCATCAGACCCTGGTTACCTTTAAAAGAGAAACTACTCCTCACGACGATTCAAATGAGCCATTGCGAAGTTCCTTTGGCCACCTTCCAGCTCCATCATCAGATCAGTACCATGTCATCATAATATTACATTGTCACGCGATTTACACATGTATGCAAAATTTCAGCTCAATCGGTACCTAACCGGGAAGTGGATCAAATTTAATTTGCAAGAATTGATGACAAACATCGCTACAGGTGAAAGTAAATGAAAGCTTGCTAAATAAAATTCGTCGCAAGGGTTTACAAATGTGTAGGCATCGTTTTAAAACGTTGCCGTGCTGTACGTGGAACCCCCATCCGAGCTAACAGTTGGATCCCCGCTCATAAGACGCGCGCTTTAGAAATAAATAAGTTTCGCAACGTTGCGTATTTATCGTTATAATAACGTTAATTTCTCTGTAATAATTTCGTTCTGTTACTCGTATAACGTTATACAAAAAAATTGAAAACGAAATGTTTTCTGAGGTACCGATACCATTATAACGTTATGATATCGTTATAAATTTCGTTATGCATAACGTTTTAAGTCCCTGTGATTAATAGAAAGCACATGGTTTAATTTTCGAATTCTGTACCCAAAGGGTAAAACGGGACCTTATTACTAAGACTTTGCCGTCTGTCTGTTTGTCGCCAAACTGTATCTCATGAATCGTTAGTTGAGTGAAGTTATGCAGTTGAAATTTTCACAGATTTCTGTCGCTGCTATAACAACAAATACTAAAAAACAATAAAAAATATTTCAGTGGGGCTCCCTTACAATATACAAGATTTTTTGTTGTTTCTATAGGTACCTAATTATTCGGTTCCGCAATTCTGATCTATTCGCTTCGGCGCCGTAGGTTGTGGGTTCGATTCTGCTATCGGGGCAGGTATGTGCGACCCACAGAGAATTGTTCCGTATCTGGGGGTTTGTTACCAAGGAGGACTGCCGTCAGGCAAGCGGCTGGTCGTTAAGAACCTAGTCAGAACCGCTTACAACATGATTCAAACGTTGTGCCGGCCGTGCCATGGTGGAGTTTTTTTTTATGTGAGAAAGTGGCATACGAGCTGGCGGTTCACCTGCTGTTATGATAACCGCCGCCCATGGACATTTGCACCACCCGTAAGATTGCAAATGCTTTGCCACTTTTAAAGAAAGTGGGCCCCGGCTACCCCACTCACCGAACGAAACGCAGAAATGTAACACTTCTACTTTGCGCCGATCTTCTGTGGTACTTACCCGAATGGATCTGCCCAGTCCTGCAACATTGAACTGTTGAGTGGTCCCACCACAGTTAGGCCTGCCTGGCATAAGGTACTGCCGCCTTCCGTGGAAGCTTTCGATATCCGCCACAATGTGTTAGAAAAACACTTGTCCGTACATACTTTTACAGAGAAATATAAATAACCCTTAAATAAATAACCCTTTTTTTTACAAACGAAAAAACCGTCTCCAAATATCTCGCTGTGTTCATTTTATAGTTGATTTTCAGGAGTTCCCTAAGTATCTCCGGAGCCCAAGATACAACACCAATTAAATAATATATGTCACCACATGGGAAGCATCAGTTTTCAAATAAAAAAAGAATCATCAGAAAAATCAGTCAAAATCAGTTGAAAGTTCTGAGGTAACAAACATTAAAAAAAATGCAGTCGAACTGAGAACCGTCTCCTTTTGAAGTCGGTCGAAAATTACTACATAATCTTCAAACGGTGTAGTAAAATGAGTCAAATAGCTGATGACCTATTTAATTGCAGTATCGGATTTTTCGGTGTATGTGTCGAGAAACATTATGAATTTTGTTCATAATAATTTACATTTGTTTATCCGTATTTCATTTATATATTGTAATTTCTCTCTTTATATAAGGGCAGGAGGATGATGATGATGTGATTTTAATGATTTTCATCAAGTACAAATTTTTACATCAAGTTCTTGTTCTTTTTTTTTAATTTATTTTTTAAACTTAAAAATCATGTCAAAATATTGTATATGGGTCCAATGTTTTTTGTTTTTTCCTTTTTTGTAAATTGTGTAAATATGTATACAGTTGGTGAATTGACACAATTAAAAAAAAATTACTCCGTGTCATTTCACATTTTTTAACGCATTTTACTAAACCATTGATTACAGATAACAAATGGCAGCACACCGTCGCTGAAACGCTTGGCGAAGGAAATACTCGGAATAGACATCCAGCAGGGCGAGCACAGCTCAGTGGAGGATGCCAAGGCAGCGATGCAGGTGTACTGCACCGTTGCAAAGGCCTGGGAGAGCATGTTGAGTGAGAAGCGAGGCAACAGCAAGAAGACAGTGGAGGAATGATATTAAATATTCCTGTATGTAATTGCCTGACAGTTAGTGTTTAAGTGTTGCAATCATACAGTGCAGTTTTATATCTACCCATAAGATTGTGTTATATGTAATAGTGAATGTTTTTATAAAACATTATTACGGATTTTGTGGTATTCAATTTTGGTTGTTCATTCAGTCGCGTGACACCAGGTTATAAAACAAATCAGTTATGCCGTTAAAAACAAAATTGAAACCTTTAAAGTCCGTAATAAAGTTTCAGTAAATGAAACTACTAAAATGGATAGAACATGTGCAGAAATAATATGAACGCAGCTTTTTCACAATTTCAAGTTCATGTGATCTTTTGATAATAATAATAGACACGAGGTGAAAAAAAGAGAACAAGAAACATAAAATATTACAAGTAAAAATAAAAGGTAAAGTAAATAAGGCAAAATGTTCTTCAGCATAATTTTGGTAATTTTCATCTTACATTTGAATGACATAAGTCTATATATCACTATATGTTGTAGGCGGAAAATATTGTTTTTTTCACATAGGCCATAAATTATGACTATTTAAAAATACTCTAATACGATTATTTTTAATTTTTTGTCGATTTGTTATTTTGTAATTTTTTTCCCTTTTTTTTTTAAGTTCTTTCTTTTGTGAAAAACATCAGTTCGTATTTTCTTATTATTACGTCGGTAAGATCAAAAAATATTATTCATATTTCATTACTCAGTTATTTGTATCTAAATAATAATTAATAACTAAATGTAATTTCCAAAATACACGATTTACCAAAAAAAAAAAAAAAACAAACCGAGCAAAGCTCGGTCCTCCGGGTACTATATATTTATATGATAGATTTAGGCATAATGCTTCCAAATTATCGCTGTCATTGCTGCATTTTGTATTCAACTAAAAGTTCTTTAGAATTTTAAAAAAAACTTGTTATTTAACAACCATTAAAGATTGGTTTACGTTAAAAACTGAGATTGTGGCTTGAGACAGCTGCAACTGAGTTCGGAAAGAGAAGAAATGATGTTGACTAATAAAGACATCATTGCGCTTTTTTTTAAAAATTCAATGCTCAGTGGTAGCCGTAACATAGTTAAGTAGTGGTCAGAAATCACGGTCAACTGAAATGAGAAAAAAGAAAACTATCAATTAATGGCTTGTTTGGAAATTATTCGAAATGTGGTGTAGATTATTAAGTTTGTGTAATGTTTAGCAAATAATTATTTATAAGGTGAAAAAATATTTTTCTATTGTCTAATAAACTTTGCCCTATAAGAATAAAAATTTCTGTGGAGTTGATTTTATTTATCATGGAATTTAATTTTCCATTTGGCTTTGTGGGATATAAGGTAGACGTATTCAACCTTCTCGATTGTAAAGGAGCTGGTATTAACGCCAATGGTGATGTATAATGTTAAAAGTAAAACTTGGCTGATGCATTCGTTAAACCAAACGTTTACGATACGTTTGGTTTAACGAATGCATCAGCCAAGTTTTACTTTTAACATTATACAGCACCGCGATTTCCACGGCGCATAGGACTTTTTGGTCGCAAAAAAACAACCATTCTAAGCGATCTAGCGTTGCACGTTTGAATCGTTTGGGTAGACGATTAATGATTGTTTAAGCGCTGCAGCGAACTTAAGTTTGAACTCGACAAAATTGAACAAAACTTGTTTGAGATAGCTAGGGACGGTGAAAGTAAAGAAATATCGATATTTCTAAAAATATCAATATCGATATTCTCTCTAGGGCCCGTTGTCCAAAGAATGTTTTGGTACGATTTTCGTTATTGAATATTTTGTATCCATATTCGGCTGAAAACATGGATATATAAAATTGAAAATATCGATATATTTTCGACATCCGGAATATAATATAGTTATGTATCATATAATAAATAATAACTCGATAATGGTCAAGTGAAATTCGCGTCCAATAATAAAACACACCGATGTCATATTATATGCTTTGTTCATTGAAACAATAAGTCTTTAATGCAGCACGACTCTTGATGTTACAATATGTTTGGAAACAATGAAATAAATTGATATAAATCTAGAACGCATTTTAAAACACTTAAGTGGAGAAAAACCAGTCTTCCGCTATGGGGTAGAATAATATATATTTTATACCGATATTTATGCACTAACAAATGAATAAAATAAATATTCCTAAGTCTGGAATTGGCAAATTTTAAATGTTTTAGAAAAAAATTAAGGGAAGTTATATTATTTATATAACATTGTAAATATATTCAAATAAAATAATTCACTGCTTATGTGACTTTCGGTAATAAATAAAAAAAAAAGGAATGCTAACATCAATTAATGTCACTCGATTTTGTTGCACTTCGAGGCTTTTATATTGACATATTAAAGAGCAATCGTAGATTGTTATGAATAGATCGAATCCTTAATAATATTATAAAGGCGAAAGTGTGTATGTATAGATGGATGTTCGTTACTCTTTCACGCAAATACTACTGAATGGATTTTAATGAAACTACAATAATATAGCTTATACATCAGAAGAACACATAGGCTATAATTTATGTATATCTGACCTTCTGTCTGAATGTTACGTCTTCAGCCTATTCTACGCAGACGTAGTCGCGGGTAGCAGCTTGTATAACATATATGAATTATGACCCCATAGGGAAAACTCGCTTGACCATCCCTTTAATTTTAATGAGTTTGTGCGAAAGTGCGTATATTCCTTCATGTTATTCAAACTTTTTGTGAGTGACTTTATACATAAAAAAAGTAGCGTTCAAAAGGGCGCAGTTATGCAAATCAGATCCAACTTTTCAACAAGAACAGTTTTATGGACGTTTTAACTTTTGAGAGATAAATGTTAGAATTTAATTAAATTAAAACATTTTGATATCTATTTATTTGTCTATGTAAATGTAGGTTATATAAGTATTTGTTTTCGCAAAATGTCTTTGAAATTTCTGTAATTTAATAAAGCAAGATGGACATTTTCTATACATTTTAAATAAATTTTAAAGCTTTTTTAGTGCTACAATTTTCATTTAATGGATAGCCTCAACAAAACCGTAGTCTCGTGTTGGATCGATATTGCGTAATAACGTCCTATTATTTTTGAATCGTATGCGAATACGCTTTCAGGTTTTTTTTACAAAACAGAATATATATTAGACTGAAGACATTTTGTAAATATTGATGTGTGATCGTATAGAATAACGACTAAGTGTGGAAGGAAACAAAGTATAAAACTTTCATTTATTCTTAACTTTTACGTCACAGCACAACCAGATCCAGATTAGGTTCTGTATTTGCCTTACGTATCGATTATCATACATACTATAAAAAAAAAAAACAACAAATACGTGTACTTGCTAAAATAACAAAGCTCTGATAGTTTAGAAAATTAGTATGTTTAGAAAGATTAATTGGAGCAGGAAACAGTTCGGTAGATTATTATTAAAAAGTACCTTTAAGTCTCAAACCAGCTCTCGCTAAATTATTTTAATTTACGCGCCTTGCACACTAGCCGTCATTCTATGCACAGATTATATTATGCAATGGAGACTGACCACAGAAGTAACAGCAATAACAACACATAACGGTTATTTAATATAAATATTTCGCAGACTTCACAAACTTAGGACTACAGACAAAACATAACCCGAGCAAACAAAAAATGTAAAAAGTACACTAAAAAAATAAGAGAAACGTTTTTAATAAAACTCACATTAGAAAAGTTAGAATACAGATAAATTATTAAAAAATACGAAAATAACTTCACCTTTTCTGCATTATATTTGTAACGATAACAATGTATTAGTCGGGGTATAAAACAACAACGTTAAATCTTATTACAGAACGAAACGTAAAATTGACTGTCAAAGATTTAAACAACAATACTTTCTTTAATATTACAAACAACTAAGTACGTTGCTTACAGTGGTAGTGATATGAAATATATAATAAACAATATAACGAAAAGAACAAAAGTATATTTTGTAAAAGAAAGAAAAGAGAAAGACGAGTAAAACCAACAAGCTAATTATTTTAAAATTGTCAATGGATTTTTTTTATATATTCCATACCACTAAAATTACAGAATAATCAATTCGTGGTGTGCATCACAAAAATATTTTCATCATCACTAAACTAAGAAAAAAAACTTTTTGGCCGAATCTCGTAAATGCGTTTGTCTTTTATCGAGACCATTTCACTAAAATCCTATAACGCTTCCAGCAATCGACCGCTTACAATATCAAATATATAGAAAAAGGAATCATAAAATTTTCGCAATAAAATGACAATCTTACACATAATCATCAAAGTTCTTCCAAAATTCTTTTGATTTCGTTGCCTTTACCAAGTCTAGTCGATTACTGGAGCGCAATTAAAATGACAGTAAAAAAGGCGGTAAACTTAAATAAATACGATATTAAAACACAAAAGTTCTTTAAAAAAACGCACAACACCTAATCGAAAACAGATGATAGATTTTTCCGTAATTAAAAATTATACGTGTAAAAAAGCACCGTGTTATATTTGGGTCGGACATTTATTTCGACTTACGATAGATACACAGATAATATATACATTCGTTTCGATTTTATTAATATGACTGAGGCGCTCGGGTCGAACCGAATCCCATACAAAACCGTACTAACAACGTCACACCCACAGAAAATCGTAGTGTGCCAGATTCCCTCAGACCTATTTACACCGATGATTTACCACAGACAACACCCGTTGTGTTGCCTCTCATACGACTGTTTCTATCAACGGCTCACATTTTTAAACAGGCAAATATAATGTTCGTGTTGAAATGTAATTGATGTGTCCTTTTATTAAACTAATGGATATTTGCATGAAGGTGTTAGCTTTGGTTGAATTTTTTTTGGGTCGGCGACACTGTAAATTGGGCCGAAAGGACATTCCCTGATGCAAGTGTCGACGTAAGGCCGTAGCTGTGTTATCGATACGCGCGGACAGGTCGATTTTGAGAGCGTGCAAAAACTACATATCGGCAGCTCCGAATCGAACCGGGGTGCGGCGGGAATAGACCGGTCTACCGGCAGTAGACGGCCGTTCCGGTGCGACGCGACACGTCAGGCGTACTGCACGTATCTCCTCGGCTGCCTGTCCACTTTCGTCATGTTGGTGCAAAGCTCTTGGTCTCTGAAAGTCGTAGACCACCAGCTCAGTTAGCAAGTTCATCTATAGCGGATTCAAATTAATATTTGTCTGATAATTTTAGTACCTTAACGGCCGGTTTCAATATTCTACCAACACGTAGATTTGGTTACTGGAGATAGAATTTTGACGTGAGTATTATGGAGCACGGTGGTAGAGCCACGCAGCAGCTCGACTGTTGCACGAGTGGGCAGGCTCGTCCGGGTAAGTACCACGACCTCACAGATGTCCGGCGTAAAGTGGAAGTATAATACTTTCGCGTTTCGTCTGGTGAGTGAGGTATCCGGAGCCCAATTTTCAAAAGGTTCAATGCATCTGGAACCCTCGGGTGTAGCCGATGTCCATGGGCGGCGGTATTCACTTAACATCAGGTGAACCGCCTGCTCGCTTGGCAACTTTTCACATAAAAGAAAAAAAAAGGAGCTAATGTCAAATACCTATCGCTAGTAATCAAACCTATCTGTAGATATGACTGAGGCGTCGGCTGAACCTAAATGTGTTTCACACCCCATGGTTTTATTTGCCGATGATAGCACAGCTATCATTAAAAGTGTTAAACATGATCTAGAAGACGAATTAAATTTAACACTAACACAAATAATTGAGGAATTGCAAAAAAAAAAAATAATTTACAAGTTAATTTGGATAAAACTAAATTTATAAAGTTCTATCAAAGATGTGCAAATGATTTAAATTTAAAAGTAATACACAGAGGAAACCAAATTGAAAAAGTTGACTACACAAAGTTTTTAGGCTTGACAATCGAATTGCAGCAAGAAAGAAAATATATTCAGGTCACAAAAAAAATGCGTTAGAGCGATGTGTAAATTAAAAACGAGAGAAAGCTGTAAATCTTCTTTTATAAAATATAAAATATTAACCATGCCGTCGTTATACATATTTGAGAGTGCGATGTTTGTAAAAAATAACTTGTCTCTTTTCTCCAAGCCCAACCATGAGCGAAGCAGACGTGACTTACACAAACTTTGTTTACCTAAAACTAATACTAAACTTATGAGCAAGAGTATACTCTGCATGGCACCAAAAATATATAATAGGCTCCCGAAAGAAATGAAGGAATTAAACACAAATCTATTTAAGAAAAAACTACGCGACATGTTAACAGAAAAATGTTATTACAGTATAAACGAATTTATATCAAATTAATAATCTAAACGTATTCAGTGAATTAATAATGTGCAATTTTATCGAATTTTTTATATTTTTTTAGTCATTTAATTATTTGTCATTTTGTTCTCTGTTCTATTATTACTGTTTGTTAACTTACTTTTTTCATAGACATATGTTTTAATATTATTTTAATATTCTGTTATATAATTTTTTCAATTTTATTTTATGATTATAATAACTAAGAAATTTGAGAATGTATACTGACAACCTTTAAGCGAACATATCATATTTGCACACCCTACAAAATGGGTAGAATATAGCGATAAAAATTACTGTGTTGTACATCTCATGCCTAACCTATATTTCGCAAATAAATACATTATTATTATTATTATTATTATTATTATGATATTGAAACCGGCCGTATATGAACAGATGGATGATATTAGTGGATAGAAAAGGGGCAATTACTGCCATAGTAGGTATGGGATACTTTTGTGCGTTTATTTTTTTCGCACACCGGGAGTTAGCACGTCATAACCGCGATTACTGCAGACTCAGCATGGCGAAGGCGCATCGAAGGAACGCTGACACCATTAGTTTTAGTTCATAAGTTTTTGTAATTATAAATCAGTCCATTCCAAATTGTCATACAGTTAACACCTTGTAATTAATTAAATAAATCTTTTTTTATTGGAATACCGATCGCCGATTACTTAACTGGCGCAGTCGGTAGGATCGCAGCACTTTCGTATTGAATCAAATGTTCTATTACGATTGTGTCACGGTTCTCAAATCGTACCTTGAGCGATCCTAAAGAACCTCAATCGCGCGATCGGGCAAGGACTCGTCAGGAGATGCAGAACATCCTGGGGTAAGTACTCTAGTTATCCAAGTGTTCCTGCTCTATTTCCTGTCTTAATTTAGGTATTTTTTTTTTTTATTGAGTGTGTATGTCTATAAGCTTTAATCGCAACAGACATTTCCCATTCTATTAGTATATTTATAATAATAAGATCAACAATAAATTATTTAAATAAGAAGTTAAAATAAATACAACAAATTAAAATACATAATAAAATCAATAACTTTGTTTAAAATTATCATCAGTTCGTTTGTCAGTTAGCTACAATCGCACGAGACATCCGATACTTTGAACGAACGCGAGCGTCATTCCATTGTTCATTAAACTCCTTAGAATCAGGAATTTACTGTACTTAATACGTATCGCTATTGTTTTATGTTAACGGGAATCGTAAGTTAGTGAGAAACAATGTCTTTAAAAGATTTCAATACGAATTTTAAGTTGATAGTGGATTTAATGCCTCGATATGATGGGAATCCTAAATTATTAAGTCACTATATTCGCGAAGTCGAAAATATACTGAATTTATTGCTAGACGAACATGCTCGGACACACCCGTTAGTAAGTTGTCTTATTAAGAGTAGGCTTAGCGACACCGCTGTAGAAGCCTTAGCCTATGAGGAATATTTAGATACGTGGGAATCCATTAAAAATGCTCTTATTAGAGGACTCCGTCAACCGCGAAATGAGTTTCAGGTGATGCAAGAACTTACACATACTCGCCGTTCTAGACAGGAGGATGCCGAGAACTTCGGAAAACGGCTTAGAGAATTGCTAGACACCTTACTCTTGATAGGCAGTCATAGCAATAAAAAATTCTATGAGAACATGGTCATAGAACAATATATTGATCAATTAGACTTCCATGTCTCATTCGGACTAAGAATCGCTAAACCCGATACGTTAGAGCTGGCTATAATAGCGGCTAAACAGGAAGAGGCTAGGCTTGAATATAATAAAGACACTAATTTTAATACACTGTCAACATTTCAAGCTAAGGCGAAGGAGTTATTTAAAATGAACCCTAATTACCCATATCAAAATTATGGTAACCCGTATATGGCGCCTACTTATTTAGCGCTTCATATGCCACAACCCCTTTTTAGCCACAATAATAGAGCAGCCCCTGAACAACGGCAGCAGTGGGTACAGCCAATGCAACCCTGGATACCACAACCAACTTCAGGTAACTTTAGAACAGGTGGCTCAGGCAACTTCAGAAGCAGCAATTTCAGGGACCAGCCAAACATAACTAAACAACAGGTAACCCATCAAAAGCCTTCTGACGTGATTATGAGGTCTGTAAACAAGACTCCAAGACCGCAGTTCACCACCGAGGAGATCTTTTACACTCCCAGTCAGATGACTAACCATACGCAATTATACTCCAACGAAGGTGAGTATCAGAATAGTATTCAACCGGTCGACAGCGATGACTTCGATACTGATGTTTACTTTAACAAGCAAGACTCCAACCAGGTTTCTCCTTTGGAGGAGACAGGACGACCAGAGCTGGTAGAGATGAACTTCCAAGATAAAGACCACCACCCCTACATCAAGCTACCTGAATTTCAAGGTAAATTTTTAGTAGATACAGGAACAAGTCACTCTACTATTTCACCCGATGTTATTCGTGATTCTAGCTTTGAACAGTGTGTAGATTATGAACCCTTTGAAATATCAACGGCACATACTGTTTCGCGTCATGATCATGTGGTCTATTTGCCCTTACCACCCGCGTTTAATAGCAATATTACGCATAAATTTTTAATTTTTGATTTCGATCCAAAATACAAAGGTCTAATCGGATTTGACTTGTTGCGAAAATTAAAAAGTAACATTAATTTAAATAATAACTCGTTACACACCTCAACAGCGGATATACCGATATATTTTAACTACCCATACCAAAAGCTTAAAGAAGAACCTAGAGGCGAAAAGTTAATGACATTCAAGACCCATTACATAGAAGGACAGTACTTATATCACGATTTCTATTGGTCTGATGGCTTAAAATCACCCGCAGCGATAGTTAACGTTAAGAACGGGACGTTTAGAAGATCTGGTATTAACTTAAAAGCTGATAAAAAATATATTTCAAACAAAGCCCCTATTAGATTAGATATTTACTCTAAAAATTTAAATAGAAATAGTAGTTGTGAATTAAACTATATACAAAAAATAACTAACAAAGACAACCCCATTCAACATATTATGAAGTACGTGATCATAGGATACAATAAGGGGATACATTTCGTAACAGGCTATAAACCACATGAACTGCTATTTGATCACACAGAATCTCGAAATACCTTAGAAATGTTTAACCCGAAGGAATTCTACCAGGATTATGTACTCAATCACCGAATAAAAGTAAAAGCGATACAGGAGTGTATTGCAGCTTACATGTCCGGTAACATAGAACAGGTTATCGCGAGAAGAAGCCGAGATGCTGAAGAAGTATCTTTCAAGGTTAGTGAAATAGTATATAAGCAGGTGGCAAAGACAGCGCGGAATGACAGGACAAAGCCTGTCTTCAAAGGACCCTATAAGGTAATCCATCTACACCCCAATAGTATCGCAGAGATTTTATTTTTCTTTTATTTTTTTTATTTTTAAAAGGCCTATCAACAACTGTTTACACTATATCTTAATAATAAAAAAGGAAAGAAACAAAGTACTTGTATAAGTGTAACAATAACTTAAAGATAAGCACAGAAAGTACAGTTAAACATCATAAAAATAAATATAAAATTAAAAACATAAATAATGAAATAGTAAAAAATAAAAAGTAGCTTAAAATAAACAGCTGTAAAATAAATTAAATTAAATTATGGTATGTTTATTACATAAGGTAAAATGTATATATTCAAATTTTAGAAAGTGAGGTATATATTATTTAAGAGACTTTGGCTATTGAGTCAACTTGAAAATCTATTTGATCGCTAAAAAGATTAATTGTTTTGCAAAATTTAATATAAGGAGAATTACTTCCCAGCACTGTTCTTCTTAGTGGTGGACAAAGTGGTGTAATAGGTTTGCGAGGGATTCTTATAGGTACTCGAAATTTAAGCAAATTCAATAGTTGTGGGCTATCAATTTTGTTATTTAATAGTTTACTCACACAAACTTAGCATCAAGCACTTCTCTTCTATGAGATAAAGAGTTAACCTTGAAATAATTAAGTCTTTCTTCATAAGATCGTAGTTCTCTTGACTTACCCTCAGAAAACGCCAAATGCCACATAAACCATTTTTGAACTCTTTCTATACGTAATGAGTGCGTAGCGTAATGCGGCAGCCAGACTACACTACAGTATTCAAGGATACTTCGGACTAGGCTATTGTAAAGCCATAATTTAGTTTTGAAACTACGAAAGGAATGACAATTTCTTACGATAAATCCTAACATTTTAGATGCTTTTTTTTTTGTTATATTTTCTAAATGTGCATTAAACGTTAACTTACTATCATAAATTACTCCAAGATCACGTACAGTGTCTACTTCTTTGATTGCTGTATTGTTTATGCGGTATATATGCGGAGATAATAGGTAGTCACCCAAATTCTATAAGAGTTCACTTCAAGTTACTACGTAGGCCTCATCTTGTTCCAAGATCCTCGTCGCAGGAATCATGAACCGCAAAAGTGACCCTGGATCCCATTAGTAATGATAACGGCGTACTATTACTCAAATAGGGACAGTTACTTAGACAGACCGAGTACTTTAGCCTAGCTTGTGTGTATAACACAACAAACAAAGTTAGCAACAATTAAATGAATTGAATTTAATGGCATTATATGCAAGCACTAAAGATGTTGAAAATACCTTAACATCTAATTATAGATATAAGTCCTACGAGGATCTAATATTATATAGTATAAGTTTAATAAATAAGAAGTTAGCATATTTGATTCCCCCAGTTAGAGTAAAACGCGGAATAATAAACGGATTAGGTACAATCGTAAAAACAATAACCGGCAACTTAGATAATGACGATGCTGTTAAATTCGAGAAAGAAATTTCAGATATAAGTAACAAGGTTAATAGAGTTCAAAATTCACAAAAGAAATCTTTAATATTAGCAAAAAGTATAATCAATGAATTCGGCAGTCAAATAAGTAAATTAGACGAAAAAGTTAAGATAATATTGCAAAATATAACGATATAATAAATATATTAATATTAGATATTAATATTGCAAAATATAACAGATATTAATATTGCAAAATATAACAGATATTAATATTGCAAAAATAACGCAAAACTCTAATGGAATTAGGGACAGTTTTCATTTATTAGATATATATTTACAGATAGACTTAAGTTTACAAATAATTTTAGAAAAGTTAATGACTTTGGAAGATGCCGTCACGTTCGCTCAATTAGGAACTATGCACCCAAGCGTTATTAGTCCACAAAATCTTATTAAAGAATTAGTAATTTTGCGTAATTATTATTCAATGAATCCAGTAGATGAGATAAATATTATAAATATACATAAGATAGAGAAATCTATAAAGGTTAAAGCATATAGTACACCACACTCGATAAACTTTATCCTGGAAATCCCCTCTGTTGATTCAAAAATATACGATTTTATTCACTTTACTCCTCCATTCCTGACCGCAACAACCTAACTATAATCCCAGAGTCCAAATACCTTGCACTTGGTAGCGATGAGTACGCCCACATCGAGGAAGAAGACTGCCAACCAATCACCAATGACACTCATATCTGCAAATCCCTGGAAGTCAGAAGAATGAAAAACACACAAGATTGCATAGCGTCGCTGGTTCAACATCAGAAAGCCAATTGCACGTTATGCCAAGCTGCACCTGACCAAAGGAAAAATCCAGAAAATCCGGGATAACAGCTGGATACTGATCCTGCAAGATGATGAAATTATCAAAATCCATTGTGGCACCAAGACAGACTACAAAAAGACGAAAGGAACTTTCATAGTCACACTGACTGAAGATTGTCGGATACATGTCCTGAATAGCACACTACAGACCCACCTGAGGACAGTCTTCAACGACGAAACCATCCCCCTTCCTGAAGCACAGCAAATCACGCAAGAACACATCAAGTTTGAATAAATTCAAGAGGATATCTCATTAGACAGCATCCACAAACTCATCATCAAGATAGATGACAAAATCCCACAAGATGAATCCAACTGGACAACCCTGATGGCAACCCCCAGCTGGACAACTTTAATATTATACGGGCTGCTGAGTGTAGCGGCCATCTGGAAGCTGTAGAAGTGGAAAAGCAATAGACTACCACAGGAAATCAACAGCAGCGAGGACGCTGCTAGAAGCTCCAACTCTCGCTTCTATCTTAAGGAGGGAGGAGTTAGCACGTCATAACCGCGATTACTGCAGACTCAGCATGGCGAAGGCGCATCGAAGGAACGCTGACACCATTAGTTTTAGTTCATAAGTTTTTGTAATTATAAATCAGTCCATTCCAAATTGTCATACAGTTAACACCTTGTAATTAATTAAATAAATCTTTTTTTATTGGAATACCGATCGCCGATTACTTAACTCGGGTGAATATTAATTTATAATATAATTTACATCATACAGGGAGGGTTTTCTAAGTGTATCATTTTTTTAATTAAATTCTAGACATAAATAATGTTATATAAAAATGATAAATATTTAAAATCACTCGTAATTAATTAATTACATTCATTTTAACTTATTTCAAAAAGTGCGTGATTTATGGGCAACTCATTTATTTTACGCGCGATCATTCATAACTAACACGCACACAAGTTCCTTTGAATGACTAACGCATTGTCAACAACTTTTGTTTTTTAAGGAATAGAATGGCAATTTTATTGAGGAAAAAAAAATGTTTTTTATCAATAAACGATTATACTACCAAGTCTGAACTTCCTGTGTGAATTTGGGCACCTTTACAAAAGCCAAACTGTATATGATTGATAAGTGAAAATCGAAGCAAAATGGAGCAAAGTAATGAATAATAAATAAAATGTAAAAAAAAAACGTTCTTTTCTCATTTATACAGTCCCTCCATGGAACCACAACCTCGCAGAAAACCGGCGTGAAGTGGTGCTAATACACTTCTGCGTTTCGTCCGGCGAGCGAGGTATTTATTTTAAGGCATCTGCAACCCTACGGGTGTTACAAATGTCCATGGGCGGCGGTTATCACTTGACATCATGTGAACCGCCAGCCCGCTTGCCCCAGCACAGTGGAGTACCAACGGTAATACCGCTCACCTAATGTCGCCCCAACCACCGTTCCCCTTGGTGAGCTTCTTGTTGTGCTTCGCCCCGCCAGCGCTGATGGTGGTGGAGACCCTAGACGGGAACATGTAGCCCTTGGCATTCTGCAGCAACTTCTGCACCTTGCTGATGACCGTCGACGCGTTACAGTTGGACTTCTTGTGGTGGATACCGCTGGAAAGGAGGTCGAGGGTGCACTCCGCTGAGGAACCAGCCAACGGGCTGATAGCAGACCCGTTCATAGGCTTGCAATTCGCTTAATACTCAAAAGGCTAACTTTACGTTCGATCGGTGGGAGTGAGATGTGTTTGAAACTATTCGATAACTACACCGATTAGAAGTGAGTTTAACAGTTTCAATAAATATATTATTTGATACAGATTTCTAATAATATCTTATGAGAATTCAATCATTAATTTAAGGTTGCAATTGACCCCAGTAATTCTGTGATGATTGAGTACAGCAGTGGGTACATGCAAACACAACTCTGTCACCGCTCTACCAAGTAAAGATCCGGCTTATGGTAGTTGCATCTTCAGTTTCACTGGTATAAACGTAACAAGTAAAAGTAAATTACAAAAGTCATCACATATTTATTAATTCTTAACACGAAAATAACACAGAAAACATTTAAGAAAACCTAGTTCTTAAATGTTTTCTCTGTTATTTCCGACGACAAAAGGCGGCGCGTCTAGGAGTCTCTATTTATGTTCTCAAGTCTGACCAGCAGGGCCAGATTTAGAGGTCTGGAGGCCTCGGGCCAACAAAGGAGTGGCGGCCCCTTGGCCTCAAATTATTTCCTATTGATTTCTGTTAATATTTTATGTAGCCATGTTTGTACAAAGTACTGTAGGTAAAAGTAAAACTCGAAAAAGAATATGAAAGCAAAAGTTGTTTACTAGTCTGAATTTGAATTTTTTTCCCAAGTCTCTATTGTGGGGGCCCCTCGTTTGTGGAGGCCCCGGGCTGTTGCCCCAGTAGCCCTCCCCTAAATCCGGCCCTGCTGACCAGTACAACTGGCGACCGCTTCTCACACGGCTGAGAAGTGGAAGATTTAATACGCGGTTAGGGCACTCACCACTCCCCGATGTGAAACACCCGAGGTCCCTTGCACAATATCACCCTGAACTTCTCCCTTCCGGGCCTGTTCTGGGACAGATGCAGAAGCGAATAGTCCCAGTTGTAGTCGTCGTACGCGCAGAACTGTTCCTGGAGCTCCATTATGTTGTTCCACACGGTCCTGTTGAACACCATTCCCATGTTGTGCATGCTCGAGTGCCACGGCGTTATTTCCACCTGAAACGGGGACGTCGCACTATGTTGGCAACACTATACGAAACGTCATCGTGACATTTCGAAGGAGCGCTGACAGTCGTAGTGGCGGGAAAGCGTAACGTCAATAAGTGCCGTGGCTATACATGCGTTGTTATATAAAGCTTGTTACGTGATTAATTTTTTACCGATTTTGGTAAACTATTGGCGAGGGAATAAGCCATGCTGTAGCTGGTGATACGAAAGAGAATTTAAAGATATCGTGCGGATGCTTTGTCGGATCTTATATGGATAAGGAATTAATTATATTACATTTACAGCTTAGTTTAATGTTTAAGTTAAAAGTAACAGCCTGTACAAGTCCCACTGTTGGGCAAAGGCCTCCTTTGTTCAGAGAATATTATGGCATAGTCCACCACGCGGCCCCACTGCGGATTGGCGGACCTCGCATATCATCGAAATATATTTATTATTTTGAAAATATGCGGGTTTCCTCACGATGTTTTCCTTCGCCTCTGAGTACGATGATAAGTTAGGACTTAAAATTAACAATTTCATTGGTGCCGGCACCGGCGATCGAATTCAGGTTGCTTCAGTATATTTAATTAAAAGCGAGCATTCTTTATAAGAAATCTTTATTTTTGTTTTATGAATACATTGACTTTATTATATTTGCCTATCTTTAACGTCAGACAAACGCTTTAAGAAGGTGTTTAAATCATTAAATTTTATGAAGAATTATGGAATTTATGACGTTCCGAAAAAAAAAACATCTTTGATAAATAATATAAAGATTAACGGATGTTAGAAAAACTTCTAAGTTCGGTAGATTATTATTTATTATAATTTTTTTTATATAATTTATATATTAGGACTTTTTCAAAAGCGGTCCAGTCTTTAACTTACGAATCACACAACTTGAGAATTAATAATTGTTTTAGAAAGTCGCAAGCCATGCCATATTATAGCTTGTCAGTCGTAAACTCTCGAACGTATAGAATTTGATTCTCGAATTTAAATTATTAACGAACATAATTATTGGCTTGTAACCGTTCTTAGATCATGTACGTATTTCTCCCTTCTTTATAAGTCCGGATAATTGAAACCTGAATAGCACTTATCTGTAGGTATGTCGAAAGTGAAGAAATATATCGATATATCGATATTTATAAAGATATCAATAACGATATATTTATAAAAATATAAATATCGGCCTCGATGTATCGAAGAGAGTATTTTCTCTTCGATATATCGGATCCAAATATAACGGCTAAAATATCGATACCAAAAATCAAAGATATCGATATATCAATATTTCTCGACATCCCTACTTATCTGTAATTCCTAGGACGATATGTCGCTTAAAACTACTAGAATTTCATTAAAGTATTTCGTACCAGAAATATTGGGCAGACTCTGAAAAGGAACAGTGCATAAAAATACAGTACATCACTAATTTATGAATAAATTAATAATTTCGACTTCGTCTGTTTACGTTTAACATTGGAATCACCTATTTGACAAATTTAATGGCTTTTAATTTTGGTTTAAAAGGTCTGTGAGACAAAATAGGAATCAGTGTGTGGCTATGTAAAGTGCTCAAAATGTCGGCAATTAATACCAAAATTAAAATCTATATTATCTATGGAACAGATTTCTAACAAGGTACTTCATAATATGCTAGCACTACTAATAACCAATTGGTAGAATACGCTCAGTATTACTGACAAAAAATCGATATACAATATTGCGAGGTTTGATACAATAAAAAACCAACACCAAGTGTTTTTTTTTAACAAAATACACTAAACAACACGCAGAAACATATTAGTATAAAAAATCATTAATAAATGAAAGTACACACTAATACAATTTCAAGTCATTTTTGTAGTAAAATGATATTTTTAAAAACCTAAACTTGCGTTCAAAATGACTAGAAGATAAATCACTACTGGCACAATATTAAACAATTATTTTATAAATATCAAAATAAAACTCAAACATGACTTAAAAACGTATAAAAACGTTTAAAAACTTTCAAGTTAAACGTTTTTATTTCATGTGCACTGAAAACTACAATATTGTATTGTCATCTAAATTAAATGTGTGTACCAAATTTCAGATCAATCTGACAACGGGAAGGTGCTTAAATTTCAATTTTTGATTTTGACCCAAGTAAATAAACAAATTCCGTACGGGTCGAGCTAAATAAAACCGTTTAAAAATATAAAGATTTTTACTTTTAATATAAAAAAGATAAAATCTATAAGCTTCAAAACCATGCACAAGCATTTCAGCAAGATAATTTCAGAACGGGCAGAAAAAGGCACAGACAATTGATAATTTATACAATCAGTATTCATACACTTTAAATGGTATTTTGGCGGGTTAATATGTGACTAGGCTGAAGATAGTATTTGAATGAAATAAAAACCTATCAAGTTCTGACTTGCACAATACTTTCACTTATTACTTTCAGTTATTGTCCTGTGTATTTCCATCATGCATTATATATGTATAATAGATAAAAAAAAAGATATGCATATAGAACGTCGCTCTACTATCGCGACCTTAAATAAACACATATAGAGGAAAACTTTTTAAATTTGTTTAAATTTACGTTCATTAAACATCAATATTTACAGAATAATTAAATTTTCACAAAAAACAAATACTATAAGCCTACGTATAAAACTGTAACATAAAGTTCATTTGTAAAGGTCACAAGCCATTTGAATTGACTGAATAAGTTTAAAAGAGATATAACATTTTTTTTTTTGACACATTTGAACACAACATTTTCTAGTCCCAAACTAAGCAAAGCTTGTACTATGGGTACTAGAAAACTGGTAAACATACTTTTCTTTTGTAAATAAATACATGTTATACATATAGAAACACCCAGACACTAGAAAAACACCATGTTCATTACACAATATTTTTCTAGTAGTGGGGAAGGAGGCAGGTACATTACCCACTACGCCATTCGGGTCGTTAAAACATACTGTTAGAAAGAGAAGCTTCTAATGCGTCGTTGTGGTAACAAATGAAAAAGTCTCTGAATGTATGAACCAGTCAGTTGTAATTGTATCCTGTGTTACAAATTTTGTATCTTTTTTTTTAATTAGTTTATTTGAATATTGTTTTTTTTAATCATGGCATTTTTTGACATTTATATTCATTTAAGGTCGCGGTTGTAATACCATACTGTATATATTCGGTCTAGTCACATGTATAGGCGAAATAGTTCAGGGTAAGTCAATTCATGCTTTATTTACAGGGGACAGCTAAAACACCACGCCACTAGCGTTGTCTTAAAACTTCTATCTTACTTAGATAAATTGCATGCAGTTTGTCTTTCCCAAGTTATAAACTTTTAAAATATATTTATCGTACATATCAATTGTAATATATTTCTTTATACTAGAATTATGATTACTCCTTCTGGCTTTTAATGTTTATTATAAATAAGGATCGATTTTTAACATTTTATAATCTTACAGATAACTAAATCTCAACCAAATCAATAAAAACTCGTAAACGATAATTGATAACTTAAAACTTCAAGACGTCTTTTTTCTTTTTCAGAAAACATTAAGTCTATTTTTCTCTCTCGCACTAGTAGCAAGCACGTTAAAAATATATCTTTATTAAATGTTGGTGATAATTGCAAATCAAATACAGCTCGATTAATTGTTAATATAGAGATATAGACTATTGTCTTGCCGCCAAATCGTGAAAACAAAACATTAGACATTAAAATGTCAGATTGACATTTCCCGCCAACAAAACGTCATTGTAGAAATTAAGTTAAAACTCGAAAAAATGGCGGTATAACAGACTCTCCATTGAGGAGAAATCCTCAAGACTGATATATAATAATATAATTAAAAGCAATTGAAAATTTCAGACAAACTACACGTCACAAAAAAAAATCAGAGTAGTCACTTCTTGGAAAATACATACTGCAGCACAAATACCCTTATACGCGGAGAAAGACCTATACCTGAAAGGAAAATAATTACGCTTCTCTATAATCTATCTGTCATATGAGGACAGTTACAATAAAAATGGACGATTTGGACCGTACTCGTAATAAAAGTGTATATTTTTTTTAAATCTCTTTAAAATGTCAACATCAAGTCATCAAAGTAAAAAAAAATATGGACCGTAAAGGAGTATTATCGTATCAAAGCATGGGTACAGCCGCAACGTCTGCGTCATAGCGTTAATATTTTTAATTGTTAATGAACAGTAAATTGTTAAAACGTTTAATAACGAAGACGACATACAGTTAATATTATTTCGATTGCCGAATGTTGGTTATAGATTGGCGTATCTAGAGGTATCTAATCTAAATAAAAAGTACTGCCTGTAACCGATTGTCCTTGAACTGTTGTAGACCTATGTGGAAGAGATTCTTAACTAAACCTGCCCTCTCAGTTTAGGTGTGAGTAGGGTTGCCAACTGTGAAAAATCAAAAAATCAAAATCAAATGTATTTATTCAACATAGGAGCATTACACTCACTTATTGATAGTCAAAACACTACCACCGGTTCGGAAAAGAAAGCCACTGTACTGAGAAGAACCGGCGAAAGAAACTCAGCGGGCTTTTTTTTTTTTTTTTTTTTTTTTTAAATAAGCAGTTTGACATAAATTCGTTAAAATACAATATAAGAACTCCGATTGAAAGAGCCTGGAGCGATCAGTTCATTACCAGAGTGTGTTATCATTTAAATAATCATTAATATTATAGTAGCCTTTAACACACAAACGTTCTTTTACTATTTTTTTAAATTTAGCTATTGATGCATTTTGAACGTTTTCTGGAATTTTGTTGTAATAACGTATACATTGTCCCATAAAAGATTTACTTATTTTACGGAGTCTACTTGTGGGTAGGATCAATTTATTTTTGTTCCTAGTATTTATATCATGAACATTATTATGTCTTAAAAATTTATCCTTATTTTTATGGACATACAAAACATTTTCAAAAATGTATTGAGCAGCAACAGTCAACAATAATGTCAACAAAATATACATACCCGAAAGTACTATATTCCAGCTGGACGGATTAATCTTTATTTTTCAACACAGAAACCAGTAACAAATATATTCCAGAGTTTTATAAGCAGGATCAAGAAAGCGTAATTTTTTCGAAAATAAACAAATTACAAATATCTTTGTGAATTATTTACTTTATGCATAAATACTACATTTTTTAATCGTGTATATTTTTATAATTTGAAAAAAAAATGTAATTAAAATTTGGGAGCCCTGATATGACGGTTCATCTTCGCCTTTATTTAGTTGAGGATTCAAATGTTTTAAGCGATTTACAGGCTAAAAATTATAGACACAACATTTATATTAACGAAAAACCAAAAGCAACTTAAAACACCTCACTTGCTAAGATTAAAATTAACTAAAAAAATGTATCCCCCATGCCAATACTCTTTGCTTGTGAACCAGACATTAAATGCAATGGACAATCGTATAAATAGATGACTTGGAATTATAAGTGAATATCAAAAAGTTGTTATCGGTTGCCATGGAAACACCATCATCATTTTACCATTACATGCCAAAAGAAGTAAATTTCAAAGGCCAAACGAAACATTCTCTATTAAGTCGGTTGAAAAACCAGAGAACGGTTCCATACTCTACTGCTGTGTTCTATCACAAATGGCAAGGCCTTCGGCAGGCATAGGTCTTTCCCGATGTTCTATTTCGAATGGTCTACTCCGGCAGGTATAGCTCTTTGCCTGCTGCTGGTGGGCACCTTTTGGTTTCTGGAGTACAGGTACGGGTAGACCTGGTAGTTCCAGGTCTGGGTCTCCCGCAGCCGTCGCCTCCTCTCCTCGTTGGCTGCGCGCACTTGCTGGATGTAGTTCAGGTTCAGCTGCTTCCGCTACGGTTCCACGGTTAACTTGGCTCTTATATTTATTTCATTTATTAAACTGATTCCCCGACGTATGTTTACATATTGTATCACATTGAAGAAATGAATCTTTAATAATCTTACATTACAATCACCTCAACACAAATGTTCACAGGCAAATATGTAGCGAGTCTGCCTAAATGCCAAATTGAATAAAAGAAGGTGTGACGTCTCAGTCTCACTGGGATTTGACTCTGGGATTTCTTTAAGATAATAATAAAATTCATAAGATAAATTTTCCAGAAATAAGCCAAAATCATTTACCTTGATGCTGCAAATTGAAATTTTAAATTGCCTTAATAAATATATTATTACCATAACACTATTCAATTTAAGTATTATCTGTGAGATAATTATAAATAGCTTATTTTCAGGTTTTTATCATGAACAAATACACGAATATACATTTAAAGTAAATAAAGACAGTCCATAAAAAGGAAATCTGCACTTTTGTCTGTATCCAAAGTTTACTTTAAAAACTTATTAAAATAATTGTCTTCACCTTAACTGAGTTAAGGAAAGCAATACTTTGAAGTTTCTCAAGAAACTACATGCTGAATTTATAAGCGGCATCTAAAGTGGCCAATTTCCATTTAAATTGATCCACAGTTAATGTTTATAGCAAAGACAGATTTTAGGTAACCCATAGAGGTTAAAATTTTATTTTAGTTAACCATTACACAATTTTGTATAATTCAATGAAATAGACTAAATAAAACTGTTCAACATATTTATTCTTTGTGGTACATACTTAATTAGAATAAGAGATTAACTCTCTTATTCTGACAAATGGGTTTAGAAATCTTCTGTCTCTTTCACAATTGGATTTGGTAAACAAATTTCGGAACGTAGTTGGAAGATGTTTGGATATGTTACAAGTTATTGGATTATGTGATAGTGAAATCTGTCTCAATGGCGTTGAGGATGAAATGCTTTGGAGTGGAGATGCGGTGTTAAAACGAAATTATAGTAGTCAACCATGAAGAGTGTGACGTGTTAACTGGAAGAGAAATGTACTTTAATGCGTGGCACTTAAGCACATTTTGGTTTGGACAAACGAACAGAGACAAAGAATAAATAACAACCTTGCACAATGCTGATGTGTCAGTATACAATGCCACACATATTCATCCTTATGGCACTGACAATAAGGTTTAATTTGCAAAAGTAAATTCTTAACGATAGACGTCATTATATCATTGTGCTTTAAAACCAAATTGCACTAGAAATTGAATCAAATGATTACATTTAGATGTGCAAAAACGTTATACTGGACGAATTTGCGGCAGTGGAAAAAAACGCCTAGACTTGTAGGCGATAAAGATCAAATTGCAACATCCATAACTACTTTCATACTGGTCAGCGTGAAAACAACTTTAGACTATCGTAATAAAGTCGAAATTCCGATGTAGGAAACATCGGCTGACCCTTGTGCTGTTGTCAGTGTGAAAACAACTTTAGTCAGTTGTAATAAATTCGAAATTCCGATGTTGGCAACATCGACTGACACTTGGGCTGTGAACTAAAAACAGTTTAGGCAAATGACGACTCTCCGCTTTGGGAACAGAGTCGAGAATACCTTGTCTCCCGTGCTGTGGTACTGGTAGGTCTTCAGGTAGGTGCCAAGGCAGAGGATCTCGCAGTGAGGGCAGCTCCGGTCTGCCGTGCTCCTGAGGAGGTGCAGCATGTGTAGGAAGTCCTCGGCCACGTAGTGGTCTTCCTCCAAGAAGACCACCATACCTACGCATGTGGAAGGGATATTAATGAATGAATGAAGGGAGTATCTATGATCTGGATAGATCTATCGTGGTAATCGCTCGGGAACCATTGCCCTCTTACAGTTGGATAACGTTACCGTTAAAGTTTTACATAAACGCCTAGATCCGAAACAGTTAACTTTATGTCACACAAATGGTTGTCTCTAGCGGGAATCGAACCCACGATCGTTAGCGCCGAAGCCAAGAACCCGACGACTGCCACGGAATCAACAAATGGAGATTTAGGGTGAGGTCGTGGCACTTACCCGGACGGGCCTGCCCACTCGTGCAACAGCCGAGGCTGCTGCGCGGCCCTACCACAGCGAGGTCGCGATTCCTCATCGCCCCACCCAGAAACAGCAGAAGTCTCTATAGTCTCTACGGCATCGTCCCTTACGGTACAGCCGCCGCGGCAAGTTGCCGCGCGTCGCCTGCCGCCCCGCGAGCCGTACGAGCACCGACCTGTGTGGCCGGCCGTGCACTGCAGCTGGTTGAAGATCCTGTTCGCCTTCCACCACCAGTGGTGCTTCGTCTGCGTGTACTTCGCCTCGCGGTAGTGGCCGTGCAGGTCCGGATGGAGCGCGTTGTTGCATTTCAGCTTTATCGCCCTGCGGATAGGGTCGGTTTTCGCTTGACGCCGCGGGTAGGCACTACATGTTTTGTTTTTTTACAAACACTGCCCTTGCTTTAGGACATTGTCCTGTTATCATTATCTGTGGCCGTTTTACAATATTTAAGTGGGGCACCCATACAATTCTACTGCCTATAATTTGCACAGAGTAAATAAAGATTGTAGCCAAAAAATTTTGAAATGTCAGATTGACAGTGCGAAAAACATTTATTTATATATTACGTTATTTACATATATTAGATGTCGCCCGCGACTACGTCCGCGTAGAATAGGCTGAAGGCGTAACATTCAGATAGAAAGACAGATACACAAAAAAATATGTATATAAATTATAGCCTATGTCTTATTCTGATGTATAAGCTATATTATTGCAAAGTTTCATTAAAATCCATTCAGTAGTATTTGCGTGAAAAAGTAACAAACATCCATCCATACATACAAACTTTCGCCTTTATAATATTAGTAAGGAAGTAAGGATAAACCATAAACAAAGCAATCACGATAGGCAATGACAGCTATATCAAGTCAAAAAAAGTAAAAAAAAAAACTACTCTCAATCTCTCTGACGATTATGCAATCCTGGTAGATAATGTAAGGCGAAATAAAAGAGAATCAAGTCTAAAATAACTTATGTTCACCATAAACCAACCACTCACGATAGAAAGTTTTAGCCATATATGCAAGTCTCATCCTTCTAGACACACTCACGTATAGAGCACCAGCAAATAAACTCTCTGACCATTATGCACTCCTAGTAGATATGCTAGACGACATAAACACATTGGCATAGATAATTTATGCATACCATAGACCAAAATACTGATAAGTTACTGTTGCTATACATTATATGTACGAACCAGTTAGACACACTGAAGTATACTCTCCCGGTAGATGACGGAGACACTAGTAGACCTATTTCGTTATCATATTTGAAAGACCGGACTACTAGACTACTCAGAGACACTTACTGCTCGAGTCGGGCATCCCTCGGGCAGTCGTTCGGATCCACCCCCGGGAACTCGTTGGGGTGGGTCTGGATCGAGTAGGGGTAGAAGATTTGCATCACCTGAAATTATATAAAAAACATACGGTGCTAGGGCCAGGCAGCAGCCACGGCTGTTGCACGAGTGGGCAGGCTCGTCCGGGTGAGTACCACGACCTCACAGAAGACCGGCGTCAAGTGGAAGTATATTACTTACGCGTTTCGTCTGGAACCCTCGCGTGTACCAGATGTCCATGGGCGGCGGTATTCACTTAACATCAGGTGAACCGTCTGCTCGCTTGGCAATGTTTCACATAAAAAAATATATTATAAAGAAACTGGTCAAGTGCGAGTCGAACTCGTGCGCCGAGGGTTCCGTACCTACCCATTATACAATCATCATCATCGTCATCAGCCGCAAAACGTCCACTGTTGAACCAAGGGCGGATCCAGCTTTGGTGCCAGGGGGGGGTCAAATAGTCGTGGTCAAGTGATAAGAAGTTATAATTTATTTTATAATCACAGATAGAAGTAAAAAGTAGGTACTTATTTTTAACCGACTTCAAAAAGAAGGAGGAGACAATTCGGATGTTTATATTTTTTTATGTGGGTATGTTCGGGCATACCTTCTTCATATATAGGCGGATTTGCAAAATTCTGTTCTGCTCATACATAGCGTTGATTTTTATTATCATATATTATACAGGTTGGCTTTTATACAGGTGCCCAAATTCACACCGGAGGTTCAGGCTCGGTAATATAATCGTTTATAGAAATAAAAACAAACTTTAAAAAAAAAATTGGCATTCTATTTCCTAAAAACAATAACAAACTTCTTGACAATGCGGTAGTCATTCATAAATGCGTCTACTTTTGAAACGATATTGTGTGCGTGTTAGTTATGAATGATCGCACGTAAAATAAATGAGTTGCCCATAAATCACGCACTTTCTGAGATAAGTTCAAATGAATGTAATTAATTAATTATGAGTGATTTTAAATATTTATCATTTTTATATAACTTTATTTATGTTTAAAATTTAATAAAAAAATGGATACACTTAGGAAAGCCACCCTGTATAGTATTTTTTTAAGTAGCTATTGGTAGGTTTACTTATTTTTGGAATTTCTTTTATTTATTTCTTCGTTAACAGATTTTATATAGTCATGTTGGATATAATATTCTTTATTCCTCTACTCCGCACGCTGGCTCTACTTCAATGACAAGTAGCCTGAGACGAGACTAAAGGGACACGGGTTGATAATAATATATAATCAACCCAAATGAAAACTCCTAAAATAGCCGTACACAAAATAAAATTACATCGTCCACATTAAAAATGTTCATAAATAACAAAAAAATATTTATTCAATCATTCATAATATTCAGCGCTTCTAATCCATATAATCAAAGACAGAATCCACATTCATAACAAACGGAAAGAACAATCTTTATTTCCCAAAGATGGTCTCGCATACTCACGTCCACCAAACCACCACATCTCACCACCCATCAAAAACGGTCCATCCACTAAGACGAATCAAACTCGACGCAGTTATGTTATTTAATTACTGAGTTCCTATGGCCACATGCCAGCTCTGTCATCAGACCCTGGTTACCATCTAGCACCAAAGAACTCGTCATGACGAATCAACCGAGCCGAGACGCAATAGAGTTGCGTCGTTTCTTTACTGAATTCATATGACTATCTTCCAGCTCCATCATCAGATCAGACCCTGTTAACCATCTAAAAATTAAGAACTCGCCAAGACGAATCAAACGAACCGAATCTCGATGGGGTTGAGTCGTTTCATTACAGAGACAGCAAATTATCAACCCGATCCAAACGCGAGCGTCAACAAGCGTCGCCCGCGAAACGTCCTCATCGACCCGGTCGAGGAAGGGGACTTAGATACGCCGGACCCACCGCCGGGGTTCCCGCCGGACAACACTACACCCACAGTTAGTGCAACAACAACACACATAGTTCGCCCTCGCCTCCGAGCACGGCGAGACCAACACAACGCGTACACAAGGTACACCCGCGTTCCAGGGCGGTTCTCACCGCCCGCAGCCACCGATTAGCTAAAAACACAGTCGACGGCCATCGGGGTCTCGGTCCGCACCGCAACTTCGATGGCCCTCAGATGACATGCCGTGGTTAAACGCACGCATGAGCACATGCGCGGCCCTACCCACAGCGGAGGGCCCAAACCCGTGGGTTCTGGCTAGCCCACCGGTTCTGCGTCAGATGAAGCTTTAACAGTCTCTGGACTGAAAGCACAAACATCAGTTAATACAAGATACAAGATTACAGAGTAGTCATAGGAACGTCACAGAATAGCCTCATAGATAGGCTTAAAGTACTTCTGCGATTTGTCTGGTGAGTACCTCACTCAAGAGATGCATTTTGCTCCGGCTCTAGCTACCTAGCCGGAGCCCACTTTATTATAAGCAGAAAACGCATCTGCAACCCTATGCATATGTCCATGGACGGGTGAAGATGGAGCTCCATCATCAGATCGTGGTTACCAATGAAACACAAACTACTCATTAATACTTACTTTAATAATCACGGATTGTTGTTACTCAGTTTGACTGTTTTCGCCTGGTTTATTGTCAAACAGATTTCCAGATCTCCCCATGTACTTGTAGAAACTTAAATAGTATTATTAGTCCATGTATAAATCATACCTAAATTTATTGCATAATCATACCTAAATTCATTGCTTATCACTGTCTTTAATGTTTTTTACTGTTATTTCCTTTATCAATTATTTGTTTTTAATTTATTAACTCTTGTTTTTGTCTCTCTGTATTTGTCTCGCCCATTATATTGCATGCTGTCAGCGCCTTTAATTGTAATGACAGTAACGAACAGTTGATGTATATTTATTTTCCTAAGTCTTAAATAGTGTACATTATGTTGGCGTTCTTTAAATACAAAATTTACACATGCATACAAAATTGTAGCTCAACCAGTAACCGGGAAGTAGATCAAATTTAATTTGCAAGATTTGATTTGATGATTTAACATTACAATTTTTTTTTTTGATAAACAGTGCCCTCACTTTAGGATAACATTATCCTGTGTTGTAAGGACGTTTTACAAACATAAATTGCACGAGGACAAACATCCAGATGCGAAACAACTATCTGTGGACAGCACACACAGTTGTCCCGTGTGGGAATCGAACCCACGACCCCCGACGCCGAAGCCAAAATCTTGGCCAACTGCGCCACGGAACACTACCGGAAACTACTTGGCAATACTATGGTAAATGTTTATGGGACCAAATGGCAACTATTCTGCATCAAACTAAAGAAGAATCACGTAAATCGGATCAAATTTCAACGTGATCGGTGTACATACATCGAAAAGAATATACCAATCGAATTGAGAAACTCCTCCTTTTGAAGTCGGTTAAAATATTATATTATTTTAATTAAATATTGAAGGGACTTACATAAAATCTATATATGTGTGCAAAAAATATATAAAAAACATTCTTACACAATTTTAATTAGTGGTCCACCTAGGTCCTGAACCCAGCCCAGGGGGGGGGGGGGGGGGGTCATGACCCCCATGACCCCCCCCCCCCCCCCCTCCCCCTGGATCCGCCCTTGTGTTGAACATAGGCCCTTAGGAGGCTACAACGAACGACACTTTGCCTTACTTTACTTTTTAAAACTGGCCTTTTTTTACTTTTTAAAACAGCTAATATAGGGACTGTCGACCTCAGTATCTGGTATAAATTTGAACTTGTTAAGGCAACCCGTTTCTGAGAAAATCGGTGGTGAGACACGGACAGATAGACGGACAACAGTGATCTGTTACCTTTTAATCATCTGATAGCACTTTCTTAAACTAAATCCAAGCAAATCGTAGTGTCGTGAAACCCACTTTAAAAAGTAAAGTAAAGTAACAGCCTATACATGTCCCACTGCTGGGCAAAGGCCTCCTCTGTACAGAGGGTATCAGGGCATAGTCCACCACGCGGCCCCACTGCGGATAGGCGGACTTCACATATCTTCGAAATATTTTTTTTTGTTATTACTTCGAAAATATGCAGGTTTCCTCACGATGTTTTCCTTCACCGCGGAGCACGTGAAAAGTCAGCACTTAAAGTTAAAATCTTCATGGGGGATCGAATTCAGGTTGCTCGAGTATATTGAATTAAAGGCGAGACGCCCGGACACTGAGCTATCACGGCTCCACCCACACCACCCACGGCTCCACCCAAACCCACTTTATTCGTACCAATTTAACAGTATACCGTACCTTCGCGAAGTCGATGCTCCTCACTAGCGCGTTGATCTCCTCGTCGTAGTAGTCGTGCGAGAAGACCAGAAGCGTCCTGTCTATGTCCCTCGCCTGCGCCAGGGAGACGATGAGATGGCGCAGGTAGGTCAGCCTGGTGTGGACCTGGAGGGATGGACGGGCACATCATTCCATACGGAGATACATGTGGCGCAGTAAAGGTCCTTGTTCCAAACGGAAAACTGAGACGGAGGATCGCGCTGTTTAAAAACGCTCACGAAGAGATCGAAGTATTTTTTTTATGTGAGAAAGTGGCAAACGAGCTAGCGGTTCACCCGGTGCTAAGTGATAACCGATTAATATGCAACACCCGCGGTTGCAGATGCGTTGCCTCCTCTTAATAATGTGGGCGCCCGCCACCTCACTCACCGGACGAAACGCAGAAGTGCAACACTTCTACTTTACGCCGGTCTTCTGTGAGGTCGTGGTACTGACCCGGACCGAGCTGCCCATTCGTGCAACAGCGAACACTGTTGCATGGCCCTACCACCGTAAAATTGTTGCGCTTCCTCCCAAATAAGACTCATTGAATAAACGTTTAAAAATTAAATACAATTCGGCATACACAAGAAATGCCAAGAAATATTACAAAGAATACAACAGCTGTTGACCACGCAACAGTTTTGTCTGTTGCACGAATGGGCAGGTCCGTCCGTGTAAGGACCACGACCTAACAGAAGTCCGCGTTTCGTCTGGTGAGTGAGGTAGCCGACGCCAACTTTATTAAAAGGTAGCAACGTCTTGCAACTCCTGGCCTTATCTAATATGATTACTGTGCAGCAATGACACTTTTTTAAAAGTCGCCTTGGCTATGGAATCTAATGTTTTTTAATTTAATCTTTTTGTGTTTTTTTTTTTTATTATTGCGCTTAAGACGAAACACAAAAATATGCCGATAAAACTTTCGGAAAATTAACTATTCAATAATTATATCTAAAACTATTCAAACAAAAATAAGACAAAATTAAACGCGCGATAATTTATTCAATTCATCAAATACTACAAAAAAAAACAATAACTCTAATAAACATGTCGCAGCTTTTAAGGGCTTTTTTTCATAAATTTTTTGTATCATATTTTAACTAGCAGCAACATCTACGTGACAATGTCAACAGTCAAAATATATTATTGTTTTATATCGCAATATTTTCTAAGGATATTTTTTATATAAATATTTTCTTTTTATGAAACAATCGGATATGGAGGAAAAGAATAAAGACACCGATGACTGTAAGGTTGGTTAGTTGTTTTTTATTAGAGTACAGAATGTTATGATATGTAAGTACTTGAGATTAACAAATTGTTAGTAAATGGCGCAAATATGAGTCTTTATGTTCAGATTATGTATTTGTGCCATTTGCTGTTGAAACATTAGGTCCGTGGGGTCCCCGCACATCAAATTTTTTTTAAAGTTTATGTCCTAGGCTTAACGCCACGGCTGGTGACAAGAGAGCTGGTTCTTTTCTCGCTCAAACGTTAAGCACTATTCAGCGAGGACATGCAGCTAGCATTCTTGGCACCATGCCGTGTGAATTACGTTTATTAGATAATATGTAATTTTAGATAGATTTAATCTTGTAAATATTAGATCAATAAAGATTGTAAATCACAATTGTTACAGCATTAATATTATATGCAATACCGTCTTTACCTGCAGGGCACACGGGGCCCGTGTCGTCAGGGGCGCCCCGCATGGCCTACGTATTACTAACTATACAAGTTTTTCGTATATTCATTCCGACACAAGTAATAAAAAATATAAATATATAGCAGAAAAATGTTTATGTCATTCACTTTTTTTACTTTCCGATATGGCCTAAGACATTGGCATTGATAATATGACAAGTATGACAAATAGATTAATTGAATGACCATTTTGAAAATACTTGTGTGAAGGTGGTATGGACAAGTAAGGCTTTCAGTGTTGCCCGAATGGGCAGTCTGTCCGTAAAAGTACCGCTTCACAGGAGACCGTTTAGGGGAGATATCGATATCTGCGACGCAACTGCCACCCGTAAAGGCATCGGTATCGGTTGCCAACTGTGGTAGGGCCACGCTAGCCTTCGCTGTTGCACGAATGGGCAGGTCCGGGGGAGTGCCACGATCAGTGAGGTAGCACGGGTCTCGTTAATGTCCATGGGAGGCGGTTATCACTTAACATCAGGTGAACCGCGAGCTCGTTTGCCATCTTCTTACATAAAAAAAAATATCACTTGACATTATGGTAATGAAAGATAAGTTGCCCTCCTTCGACGAGCCGATTGGCGTAGTGGGTAGTGACCCTGCCTCTCGCATCAAAGGGTTCGATCCCCACTACTGGAAAAATATTGTGTGACGAACATAGTGTTTTTTCCAGTGTCCGGGTGTTTATATATTTATTGTATAATTACAAAAAAGTATGTTTAAGTATGTTTATCAGTTATCTAGTACCCATAGTAAAAACATTGCTTAGTTTGGGACTGGACAACATTTTGTAAAAACGTGTCCGAAAATATTATTTTTGTGTACTCACAGTTATCAGAGCTTCTAGGCTATTTTGGAACTACACCTATAAATCATCTTCTATAACGCATAGACCTAAAATATTGACGCTGACTGACAATGTATTATTATTCGAAAAGAGGCAGAGGAGAAAGAGACGTATAGATATACCGAGGCGGGCTCCCTCTATCGTGGTGCCGGAGAGGACACCGGTATACATAACCGCGGACAAGACTACTTGCCTCCACTGCGGATGCTTCCCAAAGGAAGATCCATACGTCAGGAACAAGTAGGTATTGGGAAGGGACGGTACGCCAACTAATATTTATATATTTATTTATTGACAACCTTAAATAAGGAAACAAAGAAAGGACCTTAACGAAGGTGGGGCAGCGCAGCAGTCTTCGCTGTTGCACCAAAGGTTCTTGGAAGTGGCTCACAGAAGACCGGCTTCAAGTGGAAGTATACTTTTGCCTGGTGAGTGAGGTAACCGGAGCACACTTTATTATAGGGTGGCAACGTATCTGCAACCCTACGGGTGTTCCAAATGTTATGTTATATATATATGTATATTTATATATTTATAAATGTATTTGTTTAATTATTTACTGTATGTGTATATATTGTATATTTTCAATACATATAAATAATTAATATAATTATTGCACCTACTACGATTTCTCACCACTAAGCATTCAGCAGGCATTAAGTTCGCCATTTGTAATCCTTGCTTAAGGCAATAAAGAATAAATAAAATACATAAATAAAATGTTTAACATCAGTGTACTAACAGCTCGCTTTCAATCTTATTTCTTTTATGTGACAAAGTGGCAAACGAGCTGGCGGTTCACCTGATGCTAAGTGATAACCGCCACCCATGGACATTTGCAACACCCGTAGGGTTGCAGACGCGTTGCCACCTTTAAATGAAGCCGGCCAAGCTACCTCACTCACCAGGCGAAACGCGCAAGTGTAACACTTCCGCTTTACGCCGGTCCTCTGCGAGGTCGCGGTACTTACCCGGACGGACCTGCCACACCACAGTGAAGTACGTACCTCACAGAAGACCGGCTTCGAGTGCAAGTATACTTCAGCGTTTCGCTTGGCGAGCGAGGTGACCGGAGCCCACTCTATTGAAAGGTGGCAACGCATTTGTAAACCTAAGGGTGTTGCAAATGTCCATAGGTGACGTTTATGACTTGAAACCAGGTGAATCCCCAGCTCGCTTGACATGTTCTTAAATAAAAAAGACCAATCTCCAAACGAACTCTCTACCAGTCTTACCAGGATGTGGTGAGAGCTTATTGCAGGTGAAGCGAGAGACGCAACAGTTATAAAATACTAGCTGTGCCCGCGACTTAGTCCGCGTGGAGTTTAAAACAAAAAAATCTCAAATAAAAGTAGCCCAAGTAACTCCTTACTACATCAGCTATCTGCCAGTGAAAGTCCCGTCCAAATTGGTCCAGCCGTTTCAGAAATTAGCCGGAACAGACGACAGACAGACAAAAATTAGAAAAAATGTTATTTTGACACATGTACCGTGTATACATCCTTAAGCATTTAGTAAAAAGCGTTATTTTAATATTAAAAACAGAGACTCCAATTTTATTTATCTGTATAGATGAACGTAAATCACCCCAAGGTTCAGAAATAAAATCTTGGTGTTCATTATGAACAGGTGCCGATTTCTAGGTCGGAGTTTCTTCTAGCCATTTTGAATATCATAATTTATCTGGTTCACAAACGTGGGGAGAATTTGTTAAGGTGGCAAACGAACAGGCCCTGATGTATAGTGATTACCGCAACCTATGGTCTTCTACTGTGGCAGATGCGTTGCCAATCTCATAAAGCATTGGCATCGGTCACCTCGCTGACCGCTTCCACTTCATATCGGTCTTCTGTGGGTTCTTCCCAGGTCTGCTGATAGGTGCAACATGAGAGGCTGCGGTTTTCCCTACCACAGAGACTGCAGTAGCTGGAAGGACATTAATGTCCAAGAGATATTTCTGATCACCTTTTAAAAAGTCTTAATGTTAATTTATTAGATGTTGGTCTTTTATTTAATATTTTGGCGAAACCTAAAAGTGAAACAATTAAACCGTATTTGCAGCTTGTTCAAATTAACAAACAGCAATTCCCGTTTTTATATAAATCTATAATTTTAAAGATTCGCATTTCATAAGTTGTTGTCACTTGTATAAGTTACGATGGGGTTCACGTATCTTTGTAGATAAAACCTCTTCGAATAAAAGATAATAAAAAAAAATCTGAACACACATTCTCACTTCAGTGAAGTTTAAGTATATCATGGTCTCTAGTAACATCAGCACAATCTCACTACAACCGTTGTTAGTATGACACGTCCCGTTTTGAGATGCCACTCGACTCCGGGAAATCACACTGTGACGTCTCTTCCAGGAAGATTAATCCATGTCAAAGGTCACCCTCAACCCTGTATGAAATAGCCGCCAGGGTGGTGGATGGCCTTCAGTTGCCGGCACCGTTTATGTGGACAGTGGAGGACGTGGCCGATTGGATTTCAGAAGAAGTCGGCCTACCACAGTACAGGGTAACTATTTAATCAGGTTAGAAAGTTAGTTTCACGGTGGTAGGGCCACGCAGCAGCCTCGGCCGTTGCACGAATGGGCAGGCTCGTCCGGGTAAGTACCACGACCTCACAGAAGACCGGCGTAAAGTGGAAGTATTATACTTTCGCGTTTCGTCTGGTCAGTGAGGTGGCCGGAGCCCAATTTCCACAAGATCGTCAACACATCTGGAACCCTCGGGTGTAGCAGATCTCCATGGGCGGCGGTATTCACTTAACATCAGGTGAACCGTCTGCTCGTTTGGCAACTTTTCACATAAAAAAAAAAAAGATAACCGTCCAAGTGCGAGTCGGACTCGCGCACGACAGGCTCCGTACCATTATCTATAAAAACGGCAAAAAATCATGTATGATTTATAGGAGCCCCACTTAAATATTTCTTCATTATGTTCTTTAGTATTTATTATTATAGAGACAACAGAAATACGTCATCTGTGACAATAACAATTGTCTAACTATCACGACAGGCAGAAAGACAGACAAACATACAGCCGAGTGTTAGTAATAGGGCCCAGTTTTACCGTTTGGTTACGCAACCCTAAAAAAACAGCGCAAGACTTGACACACGCGAGAGAAATACTGTAGTTTCGGAAACGGAGTCAAGCAACGCGAGGATATCGATAGTGAAACAATAATTGTTCTCGTGCAATAATTGGTGGTATTAACATCAATGGCGAATACATCACCCACCTTCGATTTGCCGACGATATAGTCATCATGGCAGAATTGCTGGAGGACCTGGGTGCTATGCTCAATGACCTCAACAGTGTCTCCCAACGGGTGGGCCTTAAGAAGAACATGGACAAGACGAAGATCATGTCTAATGTCCATGTCACGCCTATACCTGTGGGAGCACTGAGCTCGAAGTTGTTGACGAGTACGTTTACCTAGGACAGTTAGTCCGGCTAGGTAAGTCCAACTTCGACGCAGAGGTCAATCGGCGAATCCAACTCGGATGGGCAGTGTTCGGGAAACTTCGGCAAATCTTCTCGTCGAATATACCTCAATGTTTGAAGACTAAAGTCTTCAATCAATGTGTGTTGCCAGTGATGACCTACGGAACCGAGACGTGGTCCTTCACTGCTGGCCGTATGAGGAAGCTCAAAGTCGCTCAGCGCCGGTATGCTCGGTATTTCTCTGCGTGATAGAGTTCGTAACGAAGACATCCGCAGTAGAACTAAGATAACCGACATAGCTCAGAGGATTAGCAAGCTGAAGTGGCGATGGGCCGGCCATATAGCTCGTAGAACCGATAACCGTTGGGGAAGAAAGGTTCTCGAGTGGCAGCCTCGTACTGGCGATCGCAGTGTGGGACGACCCCCCACTAGATGGAGTGACGACCTGTGCAAATGTGCGGGAAGTCGATGGATGCAGGTGTATCAGGATCGTACTTCGTGGCAGTCTGTGGGGGAGGCCTATGTACAGCAGTGGACTCAAACAGGCTGAAATGATGATGATGATGATGAATAATTTCCATGTGCTCTAAGAACGAGAAACAATCTTTAAAACAGGACAAGGAGGGACAAGACAGATTCAGATCTCAATACTCGCATCACGCATTGAAGTTAAAATCATCACCAGCCAAGGATTGGTTGGCGACGAAACGCGAAAGTATTTGTGATACTTCCACTTTACGCTGGTCTTCTTTGAGGCCGTGGTTCTCACCCGGACGAGCCTGCCCATTCGTGCAACAGCCGAGGCTGCTGCGCGGCCCTACCACCGTAAATGGTACGATGAAGAAAATAAAATGAAATCTACAGTCAACAGCCAATAATACAGCGATCGTCTTCCAGGAATGCATCGTAACGAACCAGGTCGACGGTCTCCGCCTTCTGATGCTGGAGGATCCGTCGAAGCTGCCGGAAATGAACATACACGATTTCGACCATATACTCGTAAGTTTCGACGCTACGCTAGTTCGACGTACGGCTCACCTGTTCAATTTGATTGTGAATGACAGACTTTTTTTATGTGAGACAAGCGACCCGCGCCGGCTTCGCGGGGTCGCAACGTACTATACATATAAATCTTCCTCTTGAATCACTCTATCTAGTAAAAAAACCGCATCAAGATCCGTTGCGTAGTTTTAAAGATCTAGGCATACATAGGATCAGACAGACAGCGGGACGACTTTGTTTTATACTATGTAGTGATATAAACCTTCCTCTTGAATCACTCTATCTATTAAAAAAAACCGCATCAAGATCCGTTGCGTAGTTTTAAAGATCTAGGCATACATAGGGACTGACAGACAGCGGGACGACTTTGTTTTATACTATGTAGTGAATGTTACCACTACAATTGAATTGACCGCTAGCTGGCCACCTTATCGCATAAAAGAGCTCAGGAGAGCGATCTCGGTTCATAACTTCAATATCCCTGATACAAACCAGTGTCTCAATTAAACTGAAAACGCTTTGAAGTGTGGGACGGCGTGCTCGTAGAAATGAGTAGACTCGTTTCCAATAGTATATAAACTTTAATCACCGTCACGAACATATGACTATTAGAGAACGTCTTCGTCTTCACTCGCGTCGTACCAGAATCGCCGTATTCCTTTTTTATTCCTCCTCTCATTCATTCACTATCACTCAATCCTTCATTCAACCTGCATTCGACTCACTCATTTCATTTCTTAATTATTTCACTCGGTCCTTGCATTCCATTTCCACATTCATGAATACGGAAAAATCAAATCAAACATCATCCGATTCTCTAGACGATATGATTTTATCTGTTTGTCCTAGACGATGACGTCTAGCGTACGTCGGAACTACAGCGCGGAGTGGGTCAGGTTCTCGCGGAGCGTTGGCCTGCCCAGGAAACCACTGACCCACTGCACTTGGTTCAAATCCAGGACCGGCCCGAGTTGGGGCATACGGAAGAACTGGACCAGGTAAGAGACTGCCACATCCAGGATTGTGGGATAAAGGTAGGGATAAAATTCCCGGAGCACCGCTAATGCTAGCAACATAATCAACCAGGCCGCGAATGCCGAAGACGTCGATTCCCACAGGGGCGACAATCATTTCGCCCTTTTTCTTCATATTTTAACATAATCTCTCAAAAATGTCTTTTATGTTCTATATTCTAGATAACCTAGAATAATAAATAGCAAGAACCTATTAGTGTCGAAGAATACATTGTGCACTAGGTTGTGTGGAGTTGACTCTTGCTCTGCGATTGCAAGTTATATTTTTCTAGACTTACTGACCCGACCCCTTCCACACGAAATATACAATACAAATCCTACAACGTAAAAGTAAGATCTGATGATGCAAATTTGGCTTCAGATGCGATGTCCTGCGATGGATGAAGATCATCATGCCGGAACCACTGTACCTAGACCACTGGGACCTCGTTTGGTATGCTGCTGTAACCTTATAATGAAGCCCGGTATACCATCAGCTTCAACTTTGTTCTTTTCCAAATGGAATATAGTTGGCATTAAGTATCTCGCCCAGAGCCGTGATAGCTCAGTGTCCGGGGGTTCGCCTTTAATTCAATGTACTCGGGCAACCTGAGTTCGATCCCCGGTGCCGGCACCAATGAAATTGTCAATTTTAAGTGCTGACTTATCACCTGGTCAGCGGCGAAGGAAAACATCGTGAAATAATAACAAAATAAGAATGTTTCGAAGAAGTCCGCAGTGGGGTCACGTGGTGGACTATGCCCTGATACCCTCTGTACGGGGGAGGCCTTTGCCCAGCAGTGGGACAGGTATGTAGGCTGTTTTCTTTCGATATTAGTTCTTTTTAAGTCACAGAAAACAACTCAAGCCCAAAAAACTCAAATCCTCTCGTCAGCTCGAGAGTGAGCTGAACACGACATAGTATGTTGTACAATTACAATGTGAAGAATTCTAAATGGTTATAGGAAATCGCAGAAGCCGTGGTTTGGTATTTATTCTCAGACAATGCTACGAACACGCGAGCGGTTCACATCTTAATATAACATAGCTCAGCCCTAGTTTCCCATACCACACCAGACGAACCGCGTAATTCTACTCTAAACCATAAAGCAGTCGTTTCTACGGCCACTTGCAACACCAGAGGAGTCACGCACCCGTTGCCGGCCTCTGCGGAAGGAATAGGCTCTCTTCATGAACCACCACCCCCACAACGGGCAGTTTCTATATTCTATCTACAGATAGATGTGGTTACTAGCGACAGGTATTTGAGATTAGCTCCATAATATTTACGTCAAAATACCATCTCGAAACCGACTGTAATCCGTATCGGTTCGGATACACCGCTGGCGACAACTGCGACGCAACAGTGTTCGCTGTTGCACGAATGGGCAGGTCCGTCCTGGTCCTTGCAGAAGACCGCCGCAAAGTATAGGTGTTACACCTCAGCGTTTCGTCTGGTGAGCGAGGAGGCCGGGGCCCGCTTTATTAAAAAGGTGACAACGCATCTGCAACCCAACGGGTGTTGCAAATGTCCATGGGTAGGCGGGTGTAACTTAACATCAGCTGAACCGCCAGCTCGTTTGCCACTTTGTCACATAAAAAAAGAAAAGACAACTACGACTCGGTTGTGCATGGAATAAAGTTACGCAAAAAACCGCACAGCCGTGGCCAACCGTAGAGGTGGTGGCGACGGTGTTAGCAGTTCGATGCGCCATGCGGTAGCGAAAGTCAGCAGGTGTCAATCCCACAACTCAGATTTTTCCTGCAGCAGGGCACAATAGACACAACGGTCTTCGCTGTCGCACAAACGGGTAGTCCGTTCGGGTGAGCACCACGATCTCGCAGAAGACCGCCGTGGAGTGGAAGCGTTACACCTCTGCGTCTCGTCTGGTGAACGAGGCGGCCGGGGCCACTACCACTCTAAAGGTGGCGACGTGTTGCAAATGGCCACGGGCGGCGGTTGTCACTTAACATCAGGCTGGCTAGCTTGTTTAGTTCGCTTAGCTGGTTGTAGTCACATAAAAAAAACGATAAAGCTGGCTTGTGCAGCAAAAGGGTATAAGTAGGCTATCACGTGACTCGTGTAGCAGCAGAGGCTGCTAGGTGGATAGCTCTACCACGTAAGGAGGCGGAAACCTGCCACAGGTACCACAAGCCCGAGTTTCCGAAGGTCAAGATCGCCAGGGTCGGCGCGACCAGACCGTCTCCGACGATACCGCACTACGACCCACGGAAGGAAACATGCAACGAGTATCTGGTAATGTGGTGTCTTAATGCGTTCCATGTCGATTGCTCGGGGAGATGATCTGTTGTAGCGATGTCGCAAGTGATAAAGTATATCGACATATCGATGTTGATAAAAATATCAGTATCGGCCTCGACATATCGAAGGGAAAATATCGATATATCGACATTTTCCTAAAAACCCTGTTGTCCAAAAGGAAAAATAAGGAAGACTGCGCCGGATTCGAAATAAAAGAGTGAGTACGATTCGATATTGAATATTTTGTATCGATATATCGGATCGATAAATACGATCAAAAATATCGATATTTTTTCGATATCTCTAATCTGTTGACCTCATATGGTCAAAGTAAGTTAAAGATGTAAAGTTGTTGAAGAATACCTACTTACTGTTAAGTAATATTTTTTTTTTCACAAGTACCGAGATAGCTCAGAGTGTATAGTTTAGCTCATAAATAATCAATTTCAGGTGCTGACTTAACACGTGCTCAACGGTGTAGCAAAACATCGCGAGGAGACATGCATATTTAGGGAAATAGGGGTGGTGGACTATGCCCTGATAACCTTTGAACAGCCAGGAGGCCTTTGCCCAGCAGTGGCACATGTATAGGCTGTTTTTTACTTTATTTTTTTTACTATGTATAAATATTTTTACAGTGGTGAAATGAGCAAACGCTTCCACTAAACGCCAGAAAAACTATATTGATTGAATGTGTCGAAAGACCTAAAACTTCCTACAAAACCGCATTACGTTGTAAAAAGAGATGATAAAACTCCACCTTCTGCCCCGGCTAAAAGACAGTGTTGTTGGGCCACGCATAGACTATCGCTTTACATTTTTCACTTTAGGCGCCGAGGAAGTTCCGCCTTCTGACGCATCTATCCGAGTCGAAGCAAGTGATCTGGATGGAGATTCCGAAGAGTCCGGAACAGGAAGCGATAGAAGAGAGGAAGATGGAGCCGAAAGCGAGACACGAGAGCAATCTGATGCCGAAGAAGATCTGCCTGAAGGGTCTGCGGGGAGAGGAGCTGATATTGGCACGGAGGAAGATGCCAAGGGCCAAGTTCCTACCCTGATTGTGGGCGAGTTTTCTCCAAATAAAAAAAAAATTGGAAACCTCTAGAGCCTTTAAATTTCACCAGTGACATTAACGGCTCTGATGACGCTGTGGTGACCATATAGAAGATGCATATTCGTATAATCGTTTTAGATTATAGACAGTCAAACAATCTAAAAATTGGGGCTACCCTTTGAAATCTGATCCCGAAACTAGTCAAGATTTTCGTCGCTTTGGCTATCAGCCGTTTAGCTTAGTGGCTAGAGCATCAGGCCGCGAATGCCGAAGACGTAGGTTCGAATCCCACAGCGGCGACAATCTTTCCGTACTTTTTCTACATGTTTTAATGTTCAATCTTAAGTGCAGGGATTAACACTACAAAAACCTTTAAAATCCGAAACTAGTTTTTGTATTTCTATGCAGAACGGGTGAGTCCCAACACGCATGGCGACATAGAAAAAGCTATTGTAGTATTCCCTTACTGTTGGATACCGTTGTAGAGACGTTTTAAATTCTTCAAACAAATTTCGCGTGGCCAAGCACCCGGATTCGAAATCATCTGTGGGTCACATAAATAGCTGCCTCGTGTAGGAATCGAACCCACGACCCCCTTCTCAGAAGCCAACACCTTGGCAACTGCGCCACGGAATCATCAAATCAAATAATTTATTCATCGAAATAAGAAATATACATTTCATTTATCGATAGTAATTGTTTAAATCTACCACCGTTTCGTAATGAGGTTCTTCTAGCGGAGAAGAAACAGGCGAAAAAAACTCCGTAGGTATCCTCTCTTTTGTCATTTTTTTTTTCTTAGAAACAGCTTAGGAGCGATCATCTCATTCCTATCAGGGGTTGCTATCGTTAATGTATTCATTTATATTATAATAACCCATTTAAATTGTTTATAGTGCTAATATTTGCACTTAAGACATATTTTAATATAATAACCCATTTTAAAAAGTTTCCCTTTAATAAATTCCTTAAACCTGTTAATAGCTAGGCGTTGCACATTAACTGCGATTTCGTTGTAGAAGCGTATACACCGTCCCATGAACGAGTTACTGACTCTATGGAGTCTAGTAACTGGCGTAACAAGCTTGTGTTTTCTCCTAGCATTTATTATATATACTTTATTGTACACCAGAAAAAGTTCTATACAGTTCATATAAAATAAATCTTAAAAGCTAGGTACAATAAGGTGGTCTTATCGCTACAGGACAAGGAAAATAAACTTATAAATAGTGGGAGGTGGTGTGCTTTTAATAAACTTACTTAATAATAACAAAATAAATTATAATAAACATACATAAACATAAATAAATATATAATATATACAAATAACATAAATAAATATATGAAAGTAAAATAATAGATTAATACTGTCAATGTTACCTATGGATTACAGAGGGAAAGATAGTGATTCTTTACGTCATTTTCTTTTCTTTTACTTGTCATTGGGGCTGACACTGGGAGTTGCACCCGAGTTGCTCGAGTATACGCGGGCGTCTGGACGCTGCGCTATCGAAGGCGATGTCGATTCAGTTCTGATCGTCCGAACTCACCTGGATCGCGATGATGACGGTGTCGTTCTGGACGGGCCCGAACAGCTCCTCGTTGTGGATGACCTGGGCGGCGTTCGAGCGCTCGACGGCGCGCCGTATGTCCGTCACGTTCCTGGGGCTGGCGCGCTCCGTCACGTTGGCTGCAAGGGGACGACGTGTCAACTGTGGCGTGTTCCCGCTCGCAGATGAGGGTTTAGGCGTGTTTAGAAGAGGCGGAACCGGGGACGAACGTATGCCGGTCAGTGTGGGCCGCGCAGTCTTCGCCGTTGCACGAATGGGCAGGTCCGGGGAAGTGCCGTGATCTCACAGTAGACCAGCGTGAAGAGGAAGTGTTACGCTTCCGCGTTTCGTCCGGCGAGTGAGGTAACCGAGGCACACTTTATCGAAAGGTGGCAAGCCAGCAATTCAGACACGTATGTGCTCATGCTGTTTACGTAGGTGTTGGTCCTTCAAACCGGATAAGAGACCATTTTAGAAATTTAAATTACCTATAGTGCTAATCTTTGCACTTAAGATTGAATTTCTAAAAAAGCAATGGCGACATCTCTCGTTCGAATTATCTTTGTAAAACGATATTCGAAATTGTTTGTATGCTGGAAAGGATATAACAATAGATGTGCCAAGCATGGCTTCAAATGCTAAGAAAACAATGTAGAAAAAGACGTTAAGATTTTCGTCGGTGTGGCAATCATCCATTTAGCTCAGTGGCTAAAGCGTCAGGCCGCGAAAGCCGAAGACGTGGGTTCGATTTCCACAGCGGCGACAATCTTTTCGCACTTTTTCTACATATTTTAAAGAGACCATTTTTATTGTGAGAGACGTAATCGTGATGATCGGCCGGTGTGTTCATCAAGCTGTTGAGTTCTTCGTGGCTCAGCTGCCAAGCTATATATAGCTGCTATTGGCTTCGGCGCCGGGGGTCGTGGGTTCGACTTCCACACGAGACTAATATTTGTGTGACCCACAGATCTGGCTGTTTGTCCGAGTGTATTTTACGTTTTTTTTTAAACATTGCTCTTACTTTAGGACAATATTATCCTGTGTAGTAAGGACATTTTACAAACATAAATTTCACGCGGAACACAGGATAATATTATTCCACAGTAAGGCGACAATGTTTTCGATGGGAAGAGTACAATTGATATTTGGTAGGGACTTGCTAACCAACCCCTCCCAACCAAAATGAAATACCCCACATGCTTTCCTAATGTAGGACAAGTGTGTGGATGGTACTCACCTGTGGAGTTCTTGCTGTGCACCGTCAGGTATTTATGGAGCTCGGGCGGCACCAGAGCCAGCACCTGCTCCGACGTGTCGTTGGAGTTCATCAGCTCCTCTGAAAAAGCGGGATTTGGCATAAAAAAAAAATTTTTTTTTGAGTTCATACAAATTTTGGTGCGTTCGGAAAAATTACGAGAGCAGAATTATCACACACACAACGACCCTCGAAAAGCGACATGACGCTCGACTGCCATGGAGCTTCAGTCATCAACAACTGCCAGTTAAAATTCCCAATTGCAATTTGTTAGACATACCAACAGTATAGTAAAGTGAAGAAACTGCCCATAATATAGAAACAAAAAAAATATTTCGAAAATATGTAAAGCCAGCCAAGGGGTCGCGCGATGGACTTTGGCATAATAACCACTGTACAGAGGAGGCCTTTGCCCAGAAGTGGGACATTTGTAGGCTGTGACTTCGCTATTAAATGAAAAAATTCGCACTCAAGTGTCAGCGTCCCCTGCCACGACATTCCTGTACTCCTGCATACTATATTTAGTTAACGATATAGCGAGTTATTGATGCAGCCGTCATATAGTTACATATATTATAACAGGCACAAGGTCCGTATGTTGACATTAACGAACATCGAATTCGGACTCGGCTACACGCAAAGCTATACTATACTATTGCTAAAATATATTCTTTAAACTCTTAAAAATATTGACTTATTGATTTTACGCTAATATATTTAGAAACTATTTAAAATTTAAAAAAATTATCGCGTTTTTATTTTGATTTTTTTATTCCCGACAGACTTAGTCTGACCCGTGACCATGAACGCTGTAAACTTTTCGAAACGTCGTGGATTAGACAATCAAAATAAAATCGCGATAAAATCCGTAAACTAGTTTCACCCTAAAAAATAATTAAAATGATATGAAACAAAATTTGCCCAAATCTTTATTAACTCATCCTTCGCTCGTTTCTATTTTCTGAAACGTTTCAGATGACATGAAGATTCGGTGCAGCGGTAAGCAAATAAAATCCAAATCAAAAAATTTGAATCAAATCTCTATATACAATTTCTCTGCGTGAACGAGCTCGCTGCGAAGATATCCGCAGTACAACAAAAGTAGATATAGCTCAGGAGATTAGCAAGCTGGAGTTGCGATGGGCCAGCCATATAGCTCGTAGAACCGATAACCGTTGGGGAAGAAAGGTTCTCGAGTGGCAGCCCCGTATTTGCCATCGCGAAAATGTTATATTAAAAAAAGATAATTAGCGAATGTATATTTAAAAGGGGTGTGAAAAAAATTGCTAATCTTATTTATATACCATTCATAATCATACAAACATTCGGTGACCGACACAGTACTGTGAGAAAATGGATAACAAGTCAATGTTATTTGTATGCGAAAATTCGACCAGTGGGGAAATCCTCTAGACCGTGGAAAACCTTGCTCCCGTAGATTGTATCACTTCATTATCACACCGGTTTTTTTACAACTCTACAGTGGCCTCGTATATGATGACATCGTCTAAAAAACAAGTCATTTTTAATTAACTAAAAACAAAGCCGACTTAAAATGTCTCGCTCTGTATTCATTTTATAATTGATTTTCAGGAGTTACCTAAGTATCTCCGGAGCCCAAGACCCAATACCAATGAAATTACTATGGGACCACATAGGAAGCACCAGGTTTCAAATAAAAAAAAATCAACAAAATCGGCACAGTCGAAAGTTCCGTGGTAACAAACAAAAAAACACAGTCGAATTGAGAACTTCATCCTTTTTTGAAGTCGGTTGACAAGGTGAAATGTACATTCGTGTCTCGAATAAAACTCTAGCTAAATAAATTATAAATGTGTGACGTTGTGTAGAGTTCAATTAATTCTTAGTTTTATTTCTTACACACTTGTCCCTTATGTATCATCATTTAATTTAAAGTTGTTTATGCTTTAAGAAACAATGATTATTTTTAGACAATAATTATTATGAGTACTTGTTAAAAGATTTGTGCTCTCTTGCCGTCGAGAAGGGGGACAAGTCGTGTAGTTATTAATACAATACCAACTAGTGCTGCATATAAATATTTGTCTAAAAGCTATCGCTTGAGCAGTTTGCGAGCGTTTCAAAAATTTTGAGTGTCAAATTATGCACACCTGTGAAAATGATATTTTTTACACGCCCATAAAGGCATATGGCCAACAATCGGAACACTGTATTGGTTGCAATATATCGAGCTAAATTCTATAAACTACTAAACCTGAAAAATTCTATCACCAGATGTTAAGTGCTAACCGCCGCCTATGGACATTTGCAACACCCGTATTGTTGCAGAAGCGTTGCGATCTTTTAATAAAGTGGGCACCGGTTACCTCACTCACCAGAAGAAACACAGAAATGAAACACTTCTACTTCACGCCGGTCCTCTGTGAGGTCGAGGTTGTTTTCTTTTACGTGAAAGTTATCAAACGAGCAGACGGTTCACCTGATGTTAAGTAAATACCGACGCCCATGGACATCTGCTACACCCGAAGGGTGCAAATGCGTTGACAACCTTTTGAAAATTGGACTCCGGCCCCCTCACTCACCAGACGAAACGCGAAAGTATTATACTTCCACTTAACGCCGGTCTTCTGTGAGGTGGGTACTAACCTAAAGTTAGTGTAACTTGAAATATTCGGTGCGGCGCCAAAATAAAGAGTGAACCCATCTGTTTAGGTAAGTCAAGTAAACATATGCATGACATTACCATACACAACTCATCAACAGCTCGATTGAACGCGTTTTTATACGTCCAAGGCCGCATTTGGAATTACGACGACAGAAATAAAAGAAAAAAAATTAACATCGTCTGATTACAGCCATAATAAAACAATATAACATGATTTTAGCAAGCGGTTCACCTGATGTTAAGCGATAACCTCTGCCCATGGGCGTTTGCGACACCCATCGGGTTGCAAATTTTGCTTTATCCTACAGTGAGGGTAGTAACGATGTAAAAAAAATGTATAGCGTGTGAGATATTTGATAAGATTTTTTTTTGGTTAATAAAAATTAATTAATTATTTCTTAGCTTTATAAAACAATAATCAATTATTTTTATGACTTTTGACCAAAAGGGCAATAAAGCTATATCAAACATAAAACACTAACAGGTACGGTAGCGAAATGACTAGCATCGCATAGCCTCGCCTGCAGTGGACGTCTGTCTCGATGTTTGCTAACACGTGTTTATTATGCAAAGGCGATCGTTATGTATGGATGGCGACGCGTCGGTTGGGCGCGCGCTTCGATACTGCGTCCTACTCCGTCGAATTAAGGTCCCATATTGTGTAAACGTCCAAATGGCATTGCCGAAGGCGTTTTTGGTATTTTATCGAATACGGCATAACACAGTTAACCCCCCCCCCCCCCTTCACCCCTTTCCCCAAACACGTCGCACGTGAGTGATGCAACACCAATATCAACATACAATATACATCAGTCTGTTGCTGTTAATGAAACAAATAATGGATTTCTCCCTGTCCGAATATATTTAAACAAATTAATATTATACGGTTGGATTTTTTTTTCTTAGCGTAATTATTTATCTGAATATTTGTTCAGTTTTTATTTTATGCACTAATTACTACTTTTTAGACGGCATTATCTTGACATTATTTCGATTCCACGGCATATTTCGACTGCAAAGTACCGTGGTAGGGCCACGCATAAGCCTAGGCTGTTGCACGAATGGGCAGGTCCGTCCGGGTAAGTACCACGACCTCACAGAAGAACGGCGTGAAGTGGAAGTTGTATAAGTTTCGTCCGGTAAGTGAGGTAGCCGGGGCCCACTTTATTGAAACTGCACGGGTGTTGCAAATGTCCGTGGACGGTCATCACTTAACATCAGGTGAACTGGCGAGGTGGCGCGCTTGCCACCATCTCACATAAATGTACTATTTACTTATTTATTATACACCATATTACACTATTGCGGAATATCTCGACGACGCCAATGTGTGCAGTTAATACTGTTGATACTCACGTAGGGTAGAATAAGACTATTATACCGGTCTTTCATATTGTAAACTGATATCTTTGACTTTACGCTGGCCCTCTGTGAGGTCGTGGTACTTACCCGGACGGGCCCGCCCATTCGTGCAACCCTACCATCGTGAAAAAGAGCAACTGTCGAGTTTCTCGCCGGTCTCTTCTCAACAGAAACTGCTTTCCGAACCGGTGGTACCTTACGAACCTATACACATAATCTTTGATGTAAAATTTGACGATTCATAAGAGCGCGCAAGCGTCTATTTGAATAAAGATTTTTGATTGATTGATTAATTGACTATGTACTATTTTCCCACGTGATCGCACATTTATTTTACCGCTATTGTATCTTGAATTCCCGGAGGCACCAGAGAAATCCTCGGAGTTAAACGACACCCAAATGTATACTGTTAAATCGGTTTCGTTAAAATTTTACCTGCTTCGGATTCATTTTCAACCGAGTTTTATTATGTCAGCATCATAAGGTCGTTCAATATTCAAGCGATTTGGAGGTTTCGAATCCATCGATAAAGGATCGGGGCGCGTGCAAAGAGCGCGCCAGAGGCCATACGGGTCGAGGAACTCTTTAGTTAACCAGTCAGTTCGGTGCAACATTCAATTAGCGTCGCCCGTATGTAAATTAAGGAACTTTTGAAGTGTTTCCAAATTATACGTCTATTGGCGTGTTTTACACCGACCCTAAACAAATTGAAAGGATATAATTTTAAAACATGTAGAAAAAGTACGAAAAGATTGTCGCCGCTGTGGGAATCGAACCCACGTCTTCGGCATTCGCGGCCTGACGCTCTAGCCTCTGAGCTAAACGGCTGATTGCCACACCGACGAAAATCTTAACGTCTTTTCTACATTGTTTCTTAGCATTTGAAGGATATAATTGGCTGCGTTTCTGTGTATTTTTTATTTTGATATACCCATTGTTACTCTCACAGTAAATACGAATCTGACGCCACCTCTCAAGCTGAAATCCATCAAGCCGTTCAGGCTGCAGAGCGTGCCAAACAAATACACATACACACATACTCTCGAAAACCATAAACCTCCTTCTGGCGCAG